GTAATAAATTATCTATCTCTCCCCCCCCCCCCGTTCTGCATGATTTTCGCCTGACCACTGCATCATTCCCTGAGCCACCACCAGAATGAGGCCCTTTGGTCTAGACCAGGGCTCTTCAACCTTGGGTCTCCAGGCATGTTGCAATAGTGTCAACAACACCCTCCTTAATCCCTGGCGGGCAGAACTGGACACAGCTCACATGCGTTTGTTTTAGATATTTTTAAGGATAGAAAGAAGAGCCTGCTGGATCAGGCCACTGGTCCACCTAGTCCAGCATCCTGTTCTTGCGGTGACCAGGTAGATGCCCCAGTGGGAAGCCAACAAGCACAACCTGAGCACAACAGCCCTCTCCTCTCCTCTCCTCTCCTCTCCAGCAAATGGTATTTGGAAATATTACTGAGGTCCAGCTCCGAGGGCCTTCTGGCAGTTCCCTCACTGAGAGAAGTGAAGCTACAGGGAACCAGGCAGAGGGCCTTCTCGGTGGTGGTGCCCGCCCTGTGGAACGCCCTCAAAGAAAGTGACACCCGTCCTGTGAAATGCCCTCAAGGATGTCAAGGAAATAAGCAACTACCTGACTTTTAGAAGACATCTGAAGGCAGCCCTGTTTAGGGAAGTTTTTAATGTTTGATATTTTATTGTGTTTTTAATATTCTGTTGGGAGCCGCCCAACAGAGTGGCTGGGGAAACCCAGCCAGATGGGTAGGGCATAAATACTAAATTATTATTATTATTACTGCCTCCAGCTATGAAGGCACAGCCATCAGGGCTACTAGCCATCCATAGCCGCCTCCTCCACAAATATGCTACCCGATAATAAACAGTGAAAACAGTGAAAAGCGTTTGGTAGTGGCAGGCAGAGAGAGGTGGCCTCTCTCTCTCTCCTGTTTCCCGAGGCTCCTACAAAGCGTCCTGAGATGAGGCGCGTCCCCTACTTTTTCAGTTTATCCTCCAGCTGTTGCTTGTCGTTCTCCAGGTCCATGATGTTCTCCTGGGTCAGCTTCAAGTCCCCTTCCAGCTTCCTCTTGGCCCGTTCCAGGTCCATACGGATCTTCCTCTCCTGTTCCAGGGAGCCTTCCAGCTGGTTGGAAAGAGGCAGACAAGAAAAAGAAGAATAAACGGGTGTTTACTCACAGGTGGTTTCTTGCGCTTTGGGACTGCAGAATTCCTTTGGGGCTGTCCACTAGATGGGATGCGGGTGGCGCTGTGGGTTAAACCACAGAGCCTAGGGGCTTGCCGATCAGAAGGTCGGCGGTTCGAATCCCCGCGACGGGGTGAGCTCCCATTGCTCGGTCCCTGCTCCTGCCAGCCTAGCAGTTCGAAAGCATGAAGTGCAAGTAGATAAATAGGTACCGCTCCGGCGGGAAGGTAAAGGAATTTCCGTGCGCTGCTCTGGTTCGCCAGAAGCGGCTTAGTCATGCTGGCCACATGACCCGGAAGCTGCTTGCAGGCTCCCTCGGCCAGTAAAGCGAGATGAGCGCCGCAACCCCAGAGTCGGCCACGACTGGACCTAATGGTCAGGGGTCCCTTTACCTTTTTTTATCTGCAAAGGAAGGGGCGTGGGTGGCGCTGTGGGTTAAACCACAGAGCCTAGGACGTGCCGATCAGAAGGTCGGCGGTTCAAATCCCCGCGACAGGGTGAGCTCCCATTGCTCGGTCCCTGCTCCTGCCAACCTAACAGTTCAAAAGCATGAAGTGCAAGTAGATAAACAGGTACCGCTCCGGCGGGAAGGTAAAGGCATTTCCGTGCGCTGCTCTGGTTCGCCAGTCAAGCTGGCCACATGACCCGGAAGCTGTACGCCAGCTCCCTCGGCCAATAAAGCGAGATAAGTGCCGCAACCCCAGAGTCGTCTGCAACTGGACCTAATGGTCAGGGGTCCCTTTACCTTTTACTAGATCAGAGGGTTGGCTAACCTTTTTTGGGGAGGTGGGACACATTTGCCTGGATGGAGTATGGAAAGAGGGAGCCTTCCTGGATCAGGACCACAGCCCACTTAGTCCAGCGCCCCAGTCTCTCAACAGCCCAACAGACACCCTGCTGGCTAGCAGGGCCAGAGCACAAGAGCCCTTGCTTCTCCTGTGGTTTCCAGCAACTAGCATTCAGAAGCTCTGTTGCCTTCCAGTCGTGGAGGCAGAGTGGAAGCACACCTATTAACCCACCCAATTTGACCTCTGTCCCCATCCACTACTGGCACACGGCCTTGGGAAAGTTGTCAACATGGCCCACAGGACATAAATTGTCCCCTACCCCCGGGTCCCAACTGAAAAAGAATGGCAACTTAAGCTGACAGAATCTGCGCGGCTTGCCCACCTAACATACAGAATAAGAGAACGAGAAGAACATACGCTCGAAGAAGATTGGATAATGTTTACTGGAAAAAATGGTGGTCATTGTGTACACTTGAAAACACTGGCAACGTTAAGATAAATACAAGAGCATAAATTAAGTTTTGATGGATGTCATAATAGAACACTGAATGGTTTAGTTTATATAAAATACGCAGGGATTTATGTTTTGCAAAATGAACCACGGAAAGAGAAGAAGGGACGGTTTTGATATTTTAAGGTTGTTTAAATGAATATTCTAAATTGTAAAACAGGAAATGTAATAAAAATTATATTGAAAAATATTAATAAAACGTCCCCCACCCCTGTGGCAGAGAAACTGCGATAGCTAAAGGTGGGGAAAGCCCCTCTCTCCCACCAAGAAGATCTGCCAGAGCAAGAGATCTCCCATCAGCCTCAGCAGCCAGTGCAGCCAATGGTCAGGGCTGATGGGAGTTGGAGTCCACCAGCACTTGGAAGGCTCCAGCTCTGAGAACAGCTTCTTATGTGCTCATATTCATGAGACTCTCCAGTCTCTGCTGTTGACTTACATCGTCCGCCTGCTGCTCCAGCTTCAGCTTGGCTTTGGTGAGCGTGTTGACTTTGTCTTCTTCGACCTGCAGGTCATCCAGAGCTTGCTGGTGGGCCTCTTGCAAGGATTTCTTCTCCTTGGTCAGCTTGGCGATGATCTCATCCAGACCGGCCATCTCCTCCGTGAGATTTTCACCTGGTGGGAAGGCCAAACCCCAGAGATGTAAGGAGTTGTGGGGAAGGGACAACTTTGAATCTACATATGGGGGTCCCAGGAGCATGTGGGGAGAAGCTCTTAGCTGGAGGGCAGCCCACTGCACTGCCGTCAGCACTCAGCCTACTCTGTGGCGACAGGTGGGACAGAAAGCAAGTCTTAGCCTGCCGGTAGAATATGTTGCGGAGGCTTTATCCTGCTGGTGGAAGGATAACAAAAGAGGGAGCCAGTCTGACCTAACTTATAAGTAACAACAACAACAACAACAATTTATTATTTATATCCCACCCATCTGGCTGAGTTTCCCCAGCCACTCTGGGCGGCTCCAAATCAAGTGTTAAAAACAATACAGCATTAAATGTTAAAAACTTCCCTAAACAGGGCTGCCTTCAGATGTCTCTTAAAGATAAGATAGCTGCTTATTTTGTTCACATCTGAAGGGAGGGCGTTCCACAGGGAGGGCGCCACTACCGAGAAGGCCCTCTGTCTGGTTCCCTGTAACCTCACTTCTCGCAATGAGGGAACCGCCAGAAGGCCCTCGGCACTGGATCTCAGCGTCCGGGCTGAACGATGGGGGTGGAGACGCTCCTTCAGGTATATTGGGCCGAAGCCATTTAGGGCTTTAAAGGTCAGCACCAACACTTTGAATTGTGCTCGGAAACCTACTGGGAGCCAATGCAGATCTCTCAGGACCGGTGTTATGTGGTCTCTGCGGCCACTCCCAGTCACCAGTCTGGCGGCTGCATTCTGGATTAATTGCAGTTTCCGGGTCACCTTCAAAGGTAGCCCCACGTAGAGCGCATTGCAGTAGTCCCTCTTGGGAGGGGATTCCACAATATGGGAGTGTGTTGAACCAAAGGTGAACCGTTCCGGAAGCATCTTGGTAGTCAAGAAAACCCTACAATTAATTGGTAGTGGTTGCAGCAATGGGCTCACATATGTTTATATTCATACACTAATTGGCCTGCTTTGATGCAATCCTTATCTGCGGAACTCGGGGCTGGGCTCTGAGCCAAGAAAGGAGAACTATCTGTAAGGTTTTGTCAGGGACTGGCCAGAGGTGGAATAGGGGAGACTGCCTCTCCATCCTGACCCTTCCAAGGAGGAGGAAGAGGAGGACAGTGTAGGTTTACAACAGGGGTTTGAGGGAGGTCACAGCTCAGAGGCAGATGAGGGGGAAAGCTGGAAAATAATGGGAGAGGGGGAGGCAGAACTGGAGAGGCAGCTGGCTGACACAGTGTCATTAGAAAGCATCCAGACCCTCCATCTCCCAGAACCCGGTGAGCCTTAGAAGTAGGAGAGCAAAGAGCTTGAAGGCAGAGGGCACGTAGCAGCACCCGTAGAAGACGAATGAGGAAGCGGGAGAGACGGAGGGTGGAGATTCACTCAGGACAGCACCATTATCCAAGAGGCTGGGTTCTATAGCCTCTCTGTAAATACTGAAATGAAAAAGGATGGTAAGAAACTTTTCCTTGTCTTTATACTTTCCTGGGCAACAAGCCGGGAGCTGCTGAAAGCATCCTGACAGGTTTGGGTATTTGCCACCTATGACCTCATCTAGTCGGGTGAAATGCTGCTCTGCTGTATTGAGAAGGTTTGTTTGGGTGCAGGCAAAGCCATCTCCTTGCTGCGGTGTCTGCAAAGGTTAGGAGAAACGGCAGGCTGCTTTGCCTAAGTTGACACCTTCTCTGGAACTGGCCATTCCGATGTTTTTGACATCCTTCTTTGGTCTCCCTGCACCCAACCACTCCCACAAGTCCTCCTTTGGACCTGCAGTTCAGAACAGGGAGCCACCACCGAAAAGGCCCTCTCTTGTGTCCCCACCAGCTGTGCCACTAATGTCAAAGGGGCTGGGAACAGGTGCTCACCTAAGGACCTTATCACCTTGGCAGGTTCACATAGGGAACTTGCCTCGCTGCCGCTCTAAGCGCACCTTGTTCTCCGTGGCGTGCTTCTCCTTCTCCACTTTGGCCAGGGTCAGCTCCAGGTCGTCAATGTCCTTCTTGAGCTCCGAACACTCGTCCTCCAGCTTCCGCTTCTTGGCCGTCAGCTCGGCGTTCATCTCCTCCTCGTCCTCCATCCTTTCAGTCAGCTCCTTCACCTTGGCCTCCAGCTGAATCTTGTTCTTGATCAGCTGGTCGCACCGTTCCTCGGCATCGTTCAGATTATCTTGTTCCTGCGAGAGGAGAGGAGGGAAAAGGGTTTTAGGAAAAATGAGCCATCTGTTCAGGCATTTGAGGAGGACGGAGTAAACGGGAACAAGGAGGTGCTGCAAAGAGATGAGACGTGAAAGGTCAAAAGTGCTTTTATTGTGATTTTATGTTGTGAACCACCCTGAGATCTATGGGTAGAGGGCGGTATACAAATTTAATAAAAATAAAACAAATACCTTAGGACTTTTTGATAATGTAAAAGGCTGTTCTGTACCTTCCTGTCTTCTTAAGAGATAGCAACAGTGCACGTTGACCTTTGCTTCATATCTGCCCAGTATCCTGAACCGTTTTGTCAATTCCATATGCGCCCATTTCACAGAAACATAGGGAGCTGTCTTATACTGCGTCAGATTATTGGCTCATATAACTCAGTAATTTCCACCCTGACTGGCAGTGGCTATCCAGGGTTTCAGACAGGGGGAAATTTCTAGCCCTACCTGGAGATGCTGGAATTGAACTTGATATTTTCTGCTTGCTAAGCAAATGCTCTACCGCTGAGCTACAACCCTTTCCTCAAACAGCTTGTTTCTATAGAGGCCAATGCAATTAGGTGGGAAGGATGCATGTCGTCCACACTGTCCACCCCCAGGTGGCGCTGTGGTCTAAACCACTGAGCCTCTTGGGCATGGGTAGGCAAACTAAGGCCCAGGGGCCGGATATGGCACAATCGCCTTCTAAATCCGGCCCGCAGACGGTCCAAGAAACAGTGTGTTTTTACAGGAGTAGAGTGTGTGCTTTTATTTAAAATGCATCTCTGGGTTATTTGTGGGGCATAGGAATTCGTTCATATTTTTTTTTTCAAAATATAGTCTGGCCCCCCCACCAGGTCTGAGGGACAGTGGACCGGCCCCCTGCTGAAAAAGTTTGCTGACCACTGCTCTTGCGCTTGCTGATCAGAGGGTCAGCGGTTCGAATCCCCACAACGGGGTGAGCTCCCATTTGCAACTCCTGCCAATCTAGCAGTTCGAAAGCACGCCAGTGCAAGTAGATAAATAGTTACTGCTGTGGCGGGAAGTTAAACGACATTTCCGTGCACTCTGGTTTCCGTCACGGTGTCCCGTTGCGCCAGAAGCGGTTTAGTCCTGCTGGCCACACAACCCGGAAAGCTGTCTGTGGACAAACGCTGGCTCCCTTGGCCTGAAGAGAGATGAGTGCCACAGCCCCATAGTCGCCTTTGACTGGACTTAACCGTCCAGGGGTCCTTTGCCTTTTACCTTGTTACCATCTACCAGGAAGGTAAAAATAGAGGTTGTTAATTACAGAGTCAAGTATTGCTGCCAAATGGGATCTTTTGGTGTCAGTAGCTCGGTGGCAGAGCTGATGGTTTGCATTCAGAAGATCCCAGATTCAGACCCTGGCATCTCCAGGTACGACAGGGAAGGACCCCCATCTGAATCCTGCAGAGCTGCTGGCAGCCAGGGCAGTGGTAAGAAATCTGCAGGGCCCATCAGTGGGGCTAGATCACAGCTTCTTGCCAACTTTGGGTGTGATTCAGTCATATACCGGTCAATTCAGGTTTCGCCATTAAAGTTGATTCGTCGCGTAACAAGAGCGATAAGAGAGAGATGAAGAAACAGATTTCAAAATGTGAGCTGATGCTTACTCAATGCAGCAGCACTGACTCTCTCTGCAAGCAAACCAGAATCAACGCACAACAGATCACCAACGTCGTCTAACCTCCCCACAAACCTTATGCAAACAAATCTGGAAATATGCTCAATGAGCAGGTCACATGGAAGCAACCAAGGACTCTCTCTCTCTCTCCAGGACCTTGCGGTTTGTCCCGGTGGCTTTATAAAGTCACTCACAGCTTGAACTTGCAGTTGGAGATCATTCTTCTCCTGCAACAGGGAGACCATCTTTTCCTCTAGCTCTTTCCTCCGAGTCTCCGATTTCTCCAGGGCTTCCTTCAGCCGCCCAAATTCTTCCTTCATTGTCTGTGGAGAAGAAAACAAGACTGATGGACTCAACCGGCCAGCCAGCGGTAGCTGCTTAAAAGGAAAAGCAAATGGCAGCTTTATATATTGGGAAGGGCTATTTCAAAGCTGGTAGAGCAAAGCTGCTTCGAGACCTTTTTCAACTTCTGATTGAAGGTGTGAGGTTGGGTGCTTGAACGGTTTCGCAACCGGAAAATAACGGCCCTTGTTTGTAGAAGACTAGCATGCAAAGGGTTCAACTTGGCCTTCACTGTTTGTGTATTTATTTCATAAAAAAATATATTCCACTTGATTGTAAAATAAAACCCCAGTGACCTCGGAGCAGCTTACAAACAGGATTTAAAAAATGAAACTATCAGCAAATAGTTTTAAAATAAATTGAAAACCTTCCAAAAAAGTTATTAAAACCGATCAGCTAAAACTTACAATTAAAGCGTCAACACCCTACACATCCGGATAGGTTTGCCTAAACCAAAATATTTCCAGGAGGCACTGGAAGGAGTAACAGCAAAGGCCAGATGTCAGTTTCTTACAAATGTGGAATGAGCACCGTGTCAAACATGTAACAGGGCCAATTCTGCATTAATTACACTGTTGTGCAAGGTGTTCATATATTTGTGGAGTGCATAAACTGCCTGCTATGAACCCCTGTGAGCAAATCAGGGATAGCCTGGGGCACTCGATGACCTTCCAGATGTTTTTGGATGGACTCAGTGTGGCAGCCCTTGATTTTTTGTTTGTTTGTTTAACCCTTAGCAGTTCTGGATAAATTTCAGCCGTAATCCAAGAAGCATTACCTGCATCTCCTTCTCGGTCTCTGCGCTCTTGAGCAGAGGCTTGATTTTGAAGAACAGCTTCATCCAAGGCCAGTTCTTCACCCCCATGAAGGCCCGGATGTTCCACTGAATCACCAGCAATGCATCCCTGGGGAAAGGAGGGTAAGGAAACAGGGGATTTAGCCCCTAAGTGGGAGAAAGTGTCTCCCCCACCTCCCTGCCAGAAACCCTGGAGGGACTCTGCCTGCTGCAGTGGGCAATGCTGAGCTAGGGGACTCAATATTCCAACTTGGGGGTAAGGCAGCCCTCTATGTCCCTGTGGTTTTCAGTGATTGGTCAAAATTGCAACTCTTTACCCTCCAGGTCTTTGACCAATTGGCTGCCTTGCCTTCTCTTCCATTGCTGTGCACTGTATTCTGCGCCACTGCTTTCATTTATTTATTCTGATACGGATTGCTTTTTGGTTTTGAAAATAAGGTTCCAGGCAAGGAGAAAAAAAGAAACTGCAATTTGTGAGGTCTTGGTGGTCATTGTTGTAGAGTTCCACAGGTTTTTTTTTCCTTCTCTTTTTCACTTCATTTGTTAATTTTATTAAATTTCTGTACTGCCCTTCATCTGAGGATCACAGGACAGTTTATGGTATAAAACGCAATATAAAATGATTTTTTAAATGATTCTAACTGTACGTTCTTGCTTATTTTAATTGCGTGTGCTTGTAACTCTCCCTGGGAACCATTTGGCAAAGGACAGACTATAAGTGCAAATAAATAAGTACTGTGTAAGTACTAGCCAAATAAATTTTAAACAGGCAGGTTGCCCAGCAAAGCAACTGCCCACCAGCATTTCCGACAACCATCAAGAGCAGCTCTTCTTGTGACCGCAAAAGTTGCTTCCAGGCTGTCCCTATTTTCAGATGGTGCTCCGTCCCATGCTGCTAAATTTTGGCTGCACAGTTACAGTCGTTTGAGGATACAAGCCTGCCTGTCCCTAAAGACCAGACTTCTTTTTTCTGCGATAAGGAAAATGATGGGGTAATGCGCTTCCTTTGATGCAACGCCATCTGAGCACCAGTAAACAAATCGGGACAAATGCTCATTCAATAGCCAAAGCTGACTAAGATTCCCTGCGAACCAAACGCTCTGAAAGCACATTCGGAAAATGCCTGTAGCACGTTTGTTGAAATGGAATAACAGGTACCCCTGTGGAAATCTTGTTATTGTGAATCTCCCTCTTCCAGATACTGTGGAAATCGATTCCTACTCCCACCCAACCTGCAAGTTAAGAAGGGATAATCACGGCGCTCACCGACGCTCCATAATCTTCTTAAACTCGATGCGCATGAGCTGACCCCTGGCCTGCGCTTGGATGCGGGTGATGATGCGGGAAAGGCGTTCATCTCGCATTTCCTCCAATTGGCCCAAAAGCCCAGCCTTGAAAAACACCTGGAAGGAGAGGGAAAGGTGGTAGGGATGTTGACATGAGCACCTCTGGCTAAGCCTCTATCTATATCTATCATCTATCTATCATACAATATTGCCCACAAGGGCACTAGATGAGTACCAGTCCTCCTCCTCCTCCTCCTCCTCCTTCTATTATCACTCGTAGCCGAGTAAGATTGTCTTCCATAAACATAGTCTTAACAATGAGTCTGTAAGTGACTGTGGAGGCCAATTCTGGATCCACACGTCCTTCCACAGTGGGGACATGGGTTTCCGGCAGGAGTTGATCACAGTGAGGGTTTGCCAATTGTGCCTTCCTCTTAGCACGTTTCTCCCTTGCGTCCTGAGTTCGAGTGTCTTCAAAGCCCAGGACACCTTTGGTAAAGGTTGTTCTCCAATTCTCCACTTGCAGGCCAGCGTTTCCCAATTGTTGGTGTTTATACTACATTTTTAAAGACAGTCTTTAAACCTCTTTTGGTTTACTGCAAGCATTACGCTTTCCATTTTTAAGTTCGGAATAGAGTAGTTGCTTTGAAAGACGATAATCAGGCAACCGCACAACATGACCAGTCCGACGAAGTTGATGTTGAAGAATCATTGCTTCAACACTGGTGATCTTTGCTTCTTCCAGTACACTGGCATTAGTTTGCCTGTCTTCCCAAGTGATGTGTAAAATTTTTGGAGACACTGTTGATGGAATCTTTTGAGGAGTTGGAGATGGCGTTTATAAGTAGTCCATGTTTCACAAGCATACAGTCAGGTTGGTAGTACAACAGCTATGTAAACAAGCATTTTGAGTTCAGCTCTATACATCTGAGTCTCAGTGCCAACAACACTTCCCTGTCGACTGACGGGTGTCAATCACCCCAGCAGTACCAAGTTTTATTGCAGATTGCTTGCTTAGAGCAACAAATCCATATGAACTACTTGCAGTTTAGAAACTGACTGGGAAACACACCAAAAGGGTGGGTGAACAAAATATTAAAGGGAATGCATAGACACCCCACAAGCAAATTACTGTGATATAACCGCTCTATGAAAACAAATCAGAACAAATGCTCAATAAATACTGGATATTGTCTAATGACCACATAAGTTATGTGAAAGTTAATCAGGATGGATGCTGAATAAACAGGCTGTCTGGAAGTGGCCGCAAAGGCTCCACCCTCTCACCTTAGTGTGGCCAAACTTGTACTGGTTGTGGTCGATATCTAAGGAGCCCAAGAGCTTCTCTGCTCCCTTCCGACTGTCGATGAACTGGCCCTCGGGGATAGCAGCTGGGTTTAGGATACGGTACCTGGTGGGGAGGGAAATATGCTGTTAGATTCCCCTGCCAAAGCTGCAAGATTCTTCTGATGGGAAGAAAGTAAAGGTAAAGGTAAAGAGACCCCTGACCATTAGGTCCAGTCGTGAAGGACTCTGGGGTTGCGGCGCTCATCTCGCTTTATTGGCCGAGGGAGCCGGCCTACAGCTTCCGGGTCATGTGGCCAGCATGACAAAGCCGCTTCTGGCGAACCAGAGCAGCGCACGGAAACGCCGTTTACCTTCCCGCCAGAGCGGTACCTATTTATCTACTTGCACTTGGACGTGCTTTCGAACTGCTAGGTGGGCAGGAGCAGGGACCGAGCAACCGGAGCTCACCCCGTCGCGGGAATTCAAACTGCCGACCTTCTGATCGGCAAGCCCTGGGCTCTGTGGTTTAACCCACAGCACAGGGGCGTAAAACCAAGGCAGCATATTTCTTAATTGACCTGTTTTAGGCCTATTTTCAACTTGGGTCAGTGAACGATGAATGATTTTTTTTTTGAACCTTTCTTGTTGTTAATCAATTTATATATCATTTAGTGCCAAAATAGCCTTCTGAGCAGTTTACAAGTATAATGGCACAAACAATAAATAAGCCCCCATAATGAAAACAGAAAATAAAGCAGTCCCATTAAAGCATGTTGTAATGTACTATTCTTCTTAAATATTACTTATAGTATTTGGCTATATGGTTGGGGCGCAGAAGCAAGTGCCTGGGAGCAGTGCCGGATTTACGTATAAGCTAAACAAGCTATAGCTTAGGGCCCCACTCTCTGGGGGGGCCCCAAAAAAATTAAAGGGGGGGGGAACTTACATACAGCAACAGTGTTTTGTGTTGTGTAGGCTCCTATGATGTAAGTAATGGGCCCCGCCTGCTAGCCTGCTCCCTAAAATAGCCTGTTCATTTATATATATAGGGTGCCTACATTCTGCACAGACTGGTTGCATGGCCACATGTAGCATGCAGCTGCAGACTGGAGTGCAGCACAGTTGAATGTAGGTCAAGCTGTTGTACCTGTTATCTAACTACAAGCACTTTAAAGAGTGCTTGTAGACTGATGATCAGGCAGCATAGGCTAAGGGTAGGAGTCTTATGCCTACTGAAAGATTTCATATATTCAACACAAAAAACAGCGGCAATTTGTTGTTGACAAAGGACAGCTGGACATATAAAGGGCCCCATTACCTTCAGTAGCTTAGGGCCCCATCAAACCGAAATCCGGCCCTGCTCAGGAGGCCGTTCTTGTCCTAAGCGAACACCAGAATTCTAGATTGCAATTCCATCTCCTCCAAAACCTTTTAAAGAATCATCGGACTGAGCAAAGCTACCATGCTGGTGTGTAAATACGACTCGTGCTCCAGATATTTTTACGGGCTAATTAATTGCATGTTGCTGTCCGTTGTCCGCCATCAATGACCAGGCCGTTTCATGACCTCCAAAGAGAGCCATTTGCCCTCACGAGAACAGTACTGTTATGAAAGGCATTTTTCAATGGCGGGGAAGGTAGCAAATGTTACAGTTTGCAACAGGCACAATACAGGGAAGGGCCACGCTCCACCCAGCTTGACCCCGAAAGCAGATTCACCTTTGCCTGAAGTCCCCATAAAGGATCCGGTTGGGGAATCCCTTCCGGCAGATCCGGATCCCCTCCAGGACTCCGTTACAGCGGAGCTGGTGCATGACCAGAGCATTATCCATCACTCCTGGCGAAGGGAGAGAGAGAGCGGAGGTATCAGCCGCGTTAGAAATGGGCCTCCTCTGTGCCCTTCATTTGCCTGGGGTCCCATCGAAGCTTAGTTTATGTCGCCACACATCCCATAGTGTCTCTCTAAAGTAAGGGTGGGAAGTCTCAGGTCCAGGGGCCACACCCTACACCGTTTTGCAACCTCCTTGAGTATCTTTGCCTGGATGGCATGTGTCATTAATGCCTCTTGCTTGTCTGGTTGGAGGAGAGAGAGGTGTGTGCGTGTGTTGAAACTAGCCGGCTGTAATGTAAAGGTAAAGGGACCCCTGACAGTTAAGTCCAGTCGCAAACGACTCTGGGGTTGTGGCGCTCATCTCGCTTTATTGGCCGAGGGAGCCGGCGTACAGCTTCCGGGTCATGTGGCCAGCATGACTAAGCCGCTTCTGGCGAACCAGAGCAGCGCACGGAAACGCCATTTACCTTCCCGCCGGAGCGGTACCTATTTATCTACTTGCACTTTGACGTGCTTTCGAACTGCTAGGTTGGTAGCAGGGACTGAGCAACGGGAGCTCAACCCGTCCCGGGGATTCGAACCACCGACCTTCTGATCTGCAAGCCCTAGGCTCTGTGGGTTAGACCACAGCGCCACCCGCGTCCCAGTTTGCACCCATTGCTCTGCCCTCTTTTTCTTCTGGCCCCACCCACAACTCCATCCCAGAAGGTTGCCCAGGATGGAATGAGGTCTCCAGGCAGAAAAAGGACTCCACACTCCTGCTCCAGAACTGCAGAGCCAGAAGTCTGTAGAGAATGAGACTCTTAACCTCAGGGAAGTGGGTTCGAGCCCAGCATTGGGCAAAAGATTCCTGCATTGTGGGGGTTGGACAACTCTTGGGGGTCCCTTCCAACTCCACAATTGTATGGTTCTAGAGATCCTGGGCAATGCACTGGGAGAGGAACCTCCCATACACATTGCTCTGTGTAGCTCCTGTCCTGTTCCATCTGCCGCTAGATTCTCTCCCTGTCTTTTGCACCACCATTCCTTTTGTTGGTACGCATTTCAGGTAATCACCGCTGGGGGAACGTGAAACCGTAGACACGTCCCTGTCTATGAGTTAGCTGCCCAAGGGCCTCCCCAAACCAGCACAACCAGCACCTCCCAGTCCGGTCCACCAGCCCTGTCCCTGTCCAGTTACCAGGGGCCTTCCGTTCATTGGGGATGAGGCACCTCACAAAGTGAGGGTGGGTTGTTTTCAGGTTGGCCATCAGCTTGTTGAGGTTCTCCTGCCAGAGAAAGAGAGAAAGAGAGGGAGAGAGGGAAGAAGATGGAGAGGAGATAAAGAGGGAGGGGAAAGGAGAGGGGGACAGAGGAAGGAGAGAGGGAGAGGCAGAAATTGGAGAGAGAGGGTGGGAGGGAAAAGTAGAAAGGAAGAGAAGAAGAGGTGAGGGAGACAGAAAAGGTGAGGGAGGAAGAGGCAGGGAAAGGGGAAGACGAAAGGAGAGAAGGAGGAAAAGAGAGGGAGGAATGTGTGTCAATACTTATTTAGTTTCCAGCAATGTCTTCTTTGCTCCTCCTTGCTTGACTTGGAAAAAAAAATCAAACAAGCACCCCCCCTCCCATCTTTTTCGTGGGGCGACCTTTGGTTTCCTACCCGATGAACTGCAGAAACGGTCTGGAAAGACGATCCTTTCTTCTTCGATCCTTTTCCCTTCCCTCCATCTCCACCTGAGGACAGAAGCGCAGAGAGTGAAGGCTTTGAAAACTCAGGCAAGCCTCCCTCACCAAAGGGATGAGCAAATCAGGTCAATTTTGGTTTCTTTCAGTTTCTCTTCTTCTTTTTCAGTCTTAAATTCAGTTCTCCTGCACTGGTCTCCTTCCCAATGATTGTCACTGAAATCTCTCCTGTCATTGAAATCTCTCTAACTAACCACTACACTGCACTGCTCTCATTTCCTGCAGTGCCACTTGCTTCCTTCAATGTATTTTATTTTATTTATTGATTTAGTTATTGAATTTATACACAGCTCTATACCCAGAGGTCTCAGGGCAGTTCACGGAATCAAACCAAAATATAAAACCACAAAATACATAATCAAAATAAAACCAACAACCCAATACCCCCCCAACAAAAAACACACCTTTTAAAAAGGCATAGGATGTCAATCAAATCAACCAAAGAAACATTTTGGCCTGGCACCTAAAGATTTATAATGAAGGCGCCCGGCGAACTTCCTTGGGGAGAGCATTCCACAGATGGGGAGCCACTGCAGAGAAGGCCCCGTTCTCGTGTTGCCACCCTCCGGACCTCCCTAGGAGGCACACGAAGAAAGGCCTCAGAAGATGATCTCAGGGTCTGGGTAGGTTCATATGGAAAGAGGCATTCCATATGAGGTATTGAGGTCCTGAGCCATTTAAGACTTTATTGGTCTAAACCAGCACTTTGAATTGGGCCCGGAAACTACCGTATTTGTTAGCCAGTGCAGTTGGACCAGGATCAGTATAATATGCTCAAACCGTCTCGCTCCGGTGAGCAACCTGGCCGCTGAATTCTGCACTAGCTGAAGTTTCTGAACTGTCTTCAGAGGCAGCCCTACATATAACGCATTGCAGTTATCTAACGTTGAGGTTACCAGAGTATAGACAACAGTAGTTAGGCTGTCCCTGTCCAGATAGGGGCGTAGCTGGGTCACCAGCCGAAGCTGATGAAAGGCACTCTGGGCATGTAGCATCATGCCAAACTAGGACTGGTAGAAATTCAGTTCAGGGTAGATTTTAACGTGAACCTCCCTCATCCGTGCTTTCTGAAACAATGCACAAACTGAAACGCAGACAGTTTTTAAATTTGCACTTATCGACATTATGTGATGCAGCTCTCCGGTGTGATGACACACACAAAAATGTGTATACTGGGGTGAGCCGTGCACTGTGCAGAGATATGCACATATGAGGGGAAAAGAACACATTGCTTTAGTGGAAATTGCTTGTGTTTAAATACTTTTTTGGAAGCCGCCCAGAGTGGCTGGGGAATCGCAGTCAAATGGGCAGCGTATACAAATTAAAATGATCATGTTTTTGTCAGGCAAAACTAAATACAGTGGTACCTCGGGTTACAGACGCTTCAGGTTACAGACGCTTCAGGTTACAGACTCTGCTAACCCAGAAACAGTACCTCAGGTTAAGAACTTTACTTCAGGATAAGAACAGAAATTGTGTGGTGGCAGCGCGGTGGCAGCAGCGGGAGGCCCCATTAGCTAAAGTGGTGCTTCAGGTTAAGAACAGTTTCAGGTTAAGAACGGACCTCTGGAACGAATTAAGTTCTTAACCCGAGGTACCACCGTACTGAAAATGTGCATTGCTGGGAGAAATTTGCTTTGAATACTGACAAATTTCCATGAGGCTTTTCTTCTAAATAAAAAAAAAGATAAATTGCAAACTGAAGTAGAAACGTAGGGAGGTGGACTTAAGGTTGGAAAAAATGAGAAGAAACAGAAAGAACCCAAAGCTAATAGATTCATCCGCCCCCTAATATGGAGCGTTTTGGGAAATTAAAATGGCAGCCACGCACGCCACCCCCCGGAGTGCCCTGATGCCAGGGCAACTGCCCAAGGATCCTGAGTGCTGGGCCTGGTTTCCTCCTTTCCTCCTTCTCCCTCTCTCCTCCTCGCCCATCAATCTCACCAGCCTCCAAGCTGGCGTAGCTGGAGAAAAGTGTAGCAAGGAGCTTGAGGGACGACTTCTGGTAGAGCCCCACCACCGTCTCGTTGAGGGGGTCCTTGTTCTTCTGCAGCCAGCCAAGGATGTTGTAGTCGACGGTGCCGGCGTAATGGATGAGGGAGAAATGGGCCTCTGGCTTGCCCTTGGTGTTGCGCGGCTTCCCAAAGTTGTTCGACTTGCCCAGGTGGTTGTCGTACAGCTTGGCCTTGAAGGTCATGTCAGAGGCTTTTGGGAACATGCATTCCTCCTCCAAGATGGACATGATGCCCAGCGGCTGCACGGAAAGAGGGGGAAAATAGAGTCAAAGCAGCAAGTCAGGGAGACCCGGCTAACCATGGTTTCCTGTTGCATCCGAACTGGGAAACTATAGCAAATCGTTCCCTAACAAGCCAGAAAATGAGGCCATGGTTTAAAGTTGTTTGGAAGCCGTTAGCCGTAGTGAAATCAGACGAAACCACAGAAGGAATCGGAAGGATGGGTGAAAAACCCAGAAATGGTTGAATCCATCTCCCCAAAAGTGTACGGAAAAGTGAATTTATTTTAGCAAGGCGCAACAAGGGTGCTAATGGCCAGTCCCCTTATATTCAGGGTTGTGTTACACAGTGGTAAGGGGCAAAGCAAATCCAGTAACTGGCATTGGGTGAAAAAGAAGGATTACTTGCCTTTAAAACAAACAAACACGTTTCTAGCCCTTAACGTGGCAGGATTCTAGGCTGGGCTTCCAACAATCACATCTTGGCTTAATAAATGGAGAGGTGCATGAGCTTCATACAATCTCGCTTTCTCCCACCCCTTTCATGCAAACAAGGCAGGGAGCCACAGTTAACTGTGGATTCCTGCTACCTCTGAACCAGGAACGATGCTTAATGGCTTCCTAGCACCTTAACATCATAGCTTCATAGTCTGGCAAATTGGGAAGCCAATGATAAACCCTTCCCCTCCCTCCTGTTTCCCTGATCTCAGTGTGCAGGCGTGATTCCATCCCTCAGAGAGCACCTCATAACCACACCTTCTCGATGAGATCGATGCAGGCCTGGAGGTCCATGCCGAAGTCGATGAAGACCCAGTCGATCCCTTCTTTCTTGTACTCTTCCTGCTCCAGCACAAACATGTGGTGGTTGAAGAACTGCTGCAACTTCTCGTTGGTGAAGTTGATGCAGAGCTGCTCAAAGCTATTGAACTGAGACAGAGAGCGAGGAAGGGAAACGAAATCAAGAACTCGAGCAATTTGAAAAACCAGTCTGTCCAGGGTTGAAAGCCCACTCTGCTATGATGATGATGATAATAATATAATGATGATGATAATAATAATAATAATAATAATAATAATAATAATAATATTTATTTATACCCCGCTGAACTAGCTGGGTTTCTCCAGCCAGTCTGGGCAACTCCCAACAGAATAATAATAATAATAATAATAATAATAATAATAATAATATTTATTTATACCCCGCTGATCTAGCTGGGTTTCTCCAGCCAGTCTGGGCAACTCCCAACAGAATAATAATAATAATAATAATAATAATAATAATAATAATAAAGCAATAAAACATGAAACATAAAAAACTTCCCTAAACAGGGCTGCCTTCAGATGTCTTCTAAAAGTCAGATAGTTGTTTATTTCCTTGACATCTGCTTGACATCTCCACAGGGCGGGCGCTACTACCGAGAAGGCCCTCTGCCTGGTTCCCTATAACCTCACTTTTCGCAGGGAGGGAACCACCAGAAGGCCCTCAGAGCTGGACCTCAGTGTCAAGGCTGAATGATGGGGGTGGAGACTCTCCTTCAGGTATACTGGGGCCAAGGCCATTTAGGGCTTCAAAGGTCAGCAGCAAAACTCTGAATTGTGCTCGGAAACGTACTATGAGGCTGACTGGGCAGCCTTGGGCAAATCACAAACCCTTAGCCTAACTCAGCCAAGCTGAGGAGGGATGAGCAGCTCAGAAAACAAGTCACACTTGGAAAGAAACAAAACATGACAGGCTTGCGGTCTGCTGAACAATAGGAAGAGGTAGGGGATATCTACCTAAGGACAATGATCCTATCTTGCGGCACCCACCGCAATGTACTCACGTCAAAGATCTCGAATCCTGCGATGTCCAGCACCCCGATGAAATACTGCCGGGGTTGCTTGGTCTCCAAAGAATTGTTGATTCTTACTACCATCCAGCTGAACATTTTTTCATACACAGACTTAGCCAGGGCCCCAATGGAGTAGTACACCTGAGCGGAGGAGCCAGGGGAGGAAGGAAAGAAAAGTGAGCAACACTTTGGGGAAAGCAATCTGAGCCCCTGTGCCTGGTGGTGCCCTCCAGATTTTTTTGGACTCAGCTCCTATCAGCCCCAGCTGGCACGCTTGGAGTTGCAGAAAAATAAATCAAGAGCACAGAGACAGGTGCAGAGCAGGCCTCAGCACCAGATCCTGCACAAGCATGGCAGGGCCTGATGTCCTGGCCAAGTAGAGTAAGCGAATGGAGCCTAGTCTTCTGATGGTAAATTGTTCAAACTGATTTTTAGTACTGTGTTTTTACGGTGTTGTAAGCTGCCCTAGAGGGACACGGGTGGCGCTGTGGGTTAAACCACAGAGCCTAGGGCTTGCGGATCAGAAGGTTGGCTGTTCGAATCCCCGTGATGGAGTGAGCTCCCGTTGCTCGGTCCCTGCTCCTGCCAACCTAGCAGTTTGAAAGCACGTCAAAGTGCAAGTAGATAAATAGGTACCGCTCCAGCGGGAAGGTAAACGGCGTTTCTGTGCGCTGCTCTGGTTCACCAGAAGCGGCTTAGTCATGCTGGCCACATGAACTGGAAGCTGTACGCCGGCTCCCTCGGCCAATAAAGCGAGATGAGCGCTGCAACCCCAGAGTCGGTCATGACTGGACCTAATGGTCAGGGGCCCCTTTACTTTTTTAAGCTGCCCTAGGGCCTCATGGCGAAGGGCAGAGAAGACTCCAGCATCGTGACTGTGGCTCGTGTTTCGTTAGCCCTCAGATGGAAAACGAGTGAAGTCACAACTAAAGAAGAATGGCAACTTAAACTGATGGAATATGTGCAACTTGCGGACCTAACACATAGAATAGGAGAACAGACATTTAAAGAAGACTGGAAAATGTTTATTGACTATATGGAGGGAAACTGTGTTTATTTGAAAACGTGGGCAGCATTAAGATAAATTCAGCAGCGTAAATAAGTTTTGAGGGACGTAATAATGGAATACTGAATGGTTTAGTTTATATAAAATATGCAGGGATTTATGCTATGGAAAATGAACCATGGAAAGAGAAGAAGAAGGGAAGTCATTAGTATTTTAAGGTTGTTTAAATGAATATTCTAAAATGTAAAACAGAAAATTTAATAAAAATTATAGGGAAGAAAGACATAATCTTCAGCAGCATCAAGTTATACGGGCTCTGAGCAAGGAGTCCTGCTGCCTTCACTGTGAACACCTCTCTCTTTATCTTTCAAAGGCTGCCGAGTCCCCAGCCCCCCAAAACCACAGCATTGTAAAAAATGCCCCAGGGAAGAAGGCAGACTGTCCGCTCATTGCTTGACCAGTGGTTCTCAAAGGGAGAGGATGGCAAGGACCATCAAAGAAACGTATAAACATTTTCAGCGTAGTGTAGTATCAAAATATTTCTTCTTATCTGCAGAGTATGGATAGATATCTTTTCAAAACCAAGCACTGCTAGGAGTCATTTATTTTCTGTTTTCCAATGTACACTTGTATCTCAGGTTACATACGCTTCAGGTTACAGACTCCGCTAACCCAGAAATAGTGCTTCAGGTTAAGAACTTTGCTTCAGGATGAGAACAGAAATCGTGCTCTGGCGGCGCGGCAGCAGCAGGAGGCCCCTTTAGCTAAAGTAGTGCTTCAGGTTAAGAACAGTTTCAGGTTAAGTACGGACCTCCGGAACGAATTAAGTATTTAACCTGAGGTACCACTGTACTGTATTTAAAGGTAAAGGTACCCCTGCCCGTACGGGCCAGTCTTGACAGACTCTAGGGTTGTGCGCCCATCTCACTCAAGAGGCCGGGGGCCAGCGCTGTCCGGAGACACCTCCGGGTCACGTGGCCAGCGTGACATCGCTGCTCTGGCGAGCCAGAGCCGCACACGGAAACACCGTTTACCTTCCCGCTAGAAAGCGGTCCCTATTTATCTACTTGCACCGGAGGGTGCTTTCGAACTGCTAGGTTGGCAGGCGCTGGGACTGAGCAGCGGGAGCGTACCCCGCCGTGGGGATTCGAACCGCCGACCTTTCGATCGGCAAGCCCTAGGCGCTGAGGCTTTTACCCACAGCGCCACCTGCGTCCCTGCTTATATAGAGCTCCACTAAAACGCAACAGTAACCATTTTCTGTAACTAGCCAATCACTGAACGTCACTTTCGATCCCTTATTTGCATATGTGGACCTGAACTATCTACAGTATCCTGCTACTGGCCCAGAGTGAGAACTTCAGTACATAACATGTGGCATAGCACAAAATGGCTGCCGTGGGGTGTGTGGCATAGCACAAGACAGCTGCCATGGTGTGTGTGGCATAACACAAGATGGCTACCACGGGGTGTGTGGCATAGCACAAGATGGCTGCCGCAGGGTGTGTAGCAGAACACAAGATGGCTGCCGCGGGGTGTGTGGCATAACACAAGATGGCTGCCACGGAGTGTGTGGCATAGTACAAGATGGCTGCTGCAGGGTGTGTGGCATAACACAAGATGGCTGCCGCGGGGTGTGTAGCATAACACAAGATGGCTGCCGTGGAGTATGTGGCATAACACAAGATGGCTGCCGTGGTGTGTGTGGCATAGCACAAGATGGCTGCCGCAGGGTGTGTAGTATAACACAAGATGGCTGCCGTGGGGTGTGTGGCATAGAACAAGACGGCTGCCGTGGGGTGTGTGGCATAACACAAGATGGCTGCTGTAGGGTGTGTGGAATAACACAAAATGGCTGCCGCAGGGGACAAACACAGCTGGACACACAGATCAGACGGACCAATCAAACTTCCCTTCGCAGTCTGACTTACAGGTTTCTATGTCGGCTGATGCCAACTTTCCCGTTGCCCCGAAGTGGATTCGGATGAATTTACCCTAGACAGAAAAAGGAGGGCATGACTGTATAAGAGCACTGGACTCTGATAAGGAAGTCTTGGGTTCAAATCCTTCTCTAAGCTGTGAAGTTCATGGGTGGCTTCAGGTTAAGGCAGAAGCTACCTCTACGCGCTGCCAAGCCTACCTCGCAGGGGTGTTAGGCAACAATGCCGTTCTGAAGTGTTTTGAGGGAGAACGTGAGACACAGAAACAGAACAACAACGTTTCATTGCAATTCGGGTTGCTTTGCATGCAGAAGGTCCCAGGTTTGATCCTGGCACCTGCAGATTGGGCTGGGGCTGTCCAACCCTGGAGAGCTGCTGCCAGTCAGTGTGGACAATACTAAGCTAGATGGGAGTCCTGGTCTGACTCAGCTTCCTAGGTGCCGAAGGGCATAGGCTGACATACAGGACGCACACCACACAAGCGCCCTGGAAAAACCGGGACATCCTTTTACCCCTCGTGAGAGCATGCCAGCCATTTTGGGTGTTATGATCTCGTACGATTTCACGCCAACATCTCACCCTGAAAAAAGCACTTTTCTTGGCCTGGCGGTTTTGCACTGCACCATTTTGATGCACATTTTTGGCGGCTTGTGAGAGCACAGCCCTTCAAAAAAGCATGTATTTGGGGCTCTGTGATTTCACGTGGGGTCTTGTGAGGGGGCATGGATGAGAAAACGCGTAACTCAGTTGTGGGATTCAACGTGGAGGGCAGGCAGGGCTTCGATATTTGGGGGTCTTCCATACACCTCTCTAACCAGCCAGATCCACTCACAAATCGGGACGAGTTGTCGTTCCGCAAGGTCTTGGCATTGCCGAAGGCCTCCAGGGCAGGGTTGGCCTGGATGATTTGATCTTCCAGCGTCCCCTGAAAAAGCAGAGTGAACGGTTAGGGCAGCTTAAATCCACCCCCTCGACACATCTTCAGATCCCACGGCATGCTCTGTGGGGCACTGCTGTGGGGAAATTCAGAGCATGACAGGGTCCGCTGTGGGGAATTTTTTTTTTTGGCTGCAGGGGTTGCCATGTTGGATTAAACATAAGACTGCATTTGCACTGCATGGTTAGGGCACTACGACGCCCGCTTTGAACAGTCATGGCTTCCCCCAAACAGTGGCGTAGCATGGGTTGTCGCACCCGGGGCAAGGCAAGTAATTTGCGCCCCCTACCCCGTGGATTTTAGCAGGGGCAGAGAGCTGCGAGTGCGAGCGCACCCCCCCCAGGTGTTGCGCCCTATGCAGCCGGCCCCCCCTGCACCCGCCACGCTATGCCATTGCCCCCAAAGCATTCTGGGAGCTGCCTCTCTTTGCTGAGAGTTGTTAGGAGACTCCCATTCCCCTCACAGAGGTACAATCCCTCTGCCCAATCCCTCTGCCCAGAGAATTGCGAGGGAAATGGGGTGGGGTGGGGGGTCCCCTAAGAACTCTCAGCACCATGAATAAGCCGCAGCTCCCAGAATTCTTTGGCGGGAAGCCATGAGGGCTCAAAGCAGTACGAGACCTCCTAGTGGTGCAGCAATAAAACCATTGGCACATTCGCAAAGCTAAGCAGGGTCTGATATGGTTTCCAGTTGGATGGGAGACAGTGTGTTGAGATTTCCTGCAAAAGGAGTTGGACTAGACAACACTTGGGGTCACTCTGTGATTGAAATGTACGGTGTTAATGGGGCCTTAGCCAGCTACGCCAAGGGCCTAATTCTCCCTGGGGTGGGAAACCTGCGTCTGGGCTGCACCTATTTCAGATGTAAATGGGGATTCCCGGAACAGATTCCCACGCAAGAAAGCTAGCATCTCAGAAACCAGAGTTTCTTCACATCCATGCCTTCGTTTCAAGCACCTCTCAGGGAAACGGAGTTCTCCAAAGGGCAACACTGAGGAAGAAGCTGGTTCCTGAGCTGGATATGTGAAGGTAGACATTTGGGGGCTGGCTGGGGGCAGGCTGAGGTCAGTGAGGCAGTACCACCCCAATGGACCAGCCACGGCTTTGAGAGTCACGGCTTTCCCCAAAGAATCCTGGGAACTATAGCTTAAAAGAGTACCTTCCCCAGTATCAACCATCTTGGACCTTACAATCAGCTGCTGAGGCATTGTTGGTGGCTCAACCCGCTGGCAGTGACAGGGCCTTTTCGGTGGTGGCTCCCTGTTTGTGGAATACGTTCCCTGTGCCTTTCTTCCTCGTTACAGACTTTCAAGAGGAATTTAACAGTATTACTCGGCTGGAAGAGGAGGCGGGAGGCCTTCGCGCAGGAGGGAAAGGCCTGCGCTTCGCACACGATCACGATCGCTCGTGGGTACCTTGTTGGTGTTGGCGGCATCCTTCTTGCGGTCGCCGATGGCAGCGATGCTGGCAAAGTACTGGATCACCCGTTTGGTGTTCACCGTCTTCCCTGCACCGGATTCTCCGCTGGAATGAGGACAGAATACGACGGTGAGGCAGCCGGGCAGAGGGGAAGCCTGCAACTGCTTATGCAGTCAGAAAATACTTTGGATTTTCACAACATGCCAAATGGGGAGAAGGGGGTCATTTTGAGGCACTCACGTGATGAGGACAGACTGGTTTTCTCGGTCTGGAAGGAAAGAGAGAATGTAAGAATTGCCATGCTGGTTGAGACTGAGGACCAATGTCTCTGGCATTGAGCAACTAACCAGAAGATGCTCAGAAATATTCACATGCAAGGTAAGGTGCTGAAAGTCGCCCCCCACCCCTTTACCCTTAATATCAGATGGTCAAAGATAGAGTCCTTCGGAACATGGAAGTTCTATTGTTCGATGTCTTCAGTAAACAGGCTATGGGTTTCCCCAGTTCTCCAATTATTTATTTAAAAATGGCACTTATACCTTGTAGCATCATGGAATGCAGTGAATTTGAGCATATTATGAGTTGCATTGAGGAGATTTTAGACTAGCTTTTCACCGCCCAGATGTTTTGGGCTACAATTCCCCGGAGCAGATTAGCCAGGAGGGTTCTGGGAGAACCGTATCCCTGCTGCCACACAAAATAAAACCCCCACACAAGGGCAACAAATCCTTTTGTACCCGTCAACATGTATTGGTACGCGTTGTCGGAGATGGAGAAGATGTGGGGAGGAGCTTCGCTTCGCTTCTTGCCCCTGTAGGCAGCGACCACCTCTGCGTTGTAGACCGGCAGCCATTTGTAAGGGTTAACAGTCACACAGAAGAGGCCGGAGTATGTCTGGGGGGGAGAAAGGAAGAGGGAACCAAAAGCTGAGAGGGACACGCCAAGTTAGAATGAAGTGTGAACTTCATACCCTCCGACATTTATCCGATGAAAATGGGGACATCCCATTCCATCATTATAATTTTACTATTTATACCCTAGATATCTTACTGGGTTGCCTCCAGCCGCTCTAGGCAACTTCCAGCATATATAAAAACATAATAAAACATTAAACATAAAAAACCCTTCCCTATACAGGTTCAAAGCTGTCAACTTTTCCCTTTTCTTGCGAGGAGTCCTATTCGGAATAAGAGAATTTCCCTTAAAAAAAGGGAAACATTGACAGCTATCTACAGGATTGTCTTTAGACGGCTCATGGGTCAGATAGCTCCATACCCTCCAACATTTGTCCAATGAAAATCCTAAGGAAAAGTGGGACATTCCAGGATGAAATCAGAAACCGGCTTCTCTAAATCAGGGACGTCCCTGGAAAATAGGGACACTGACAATTTTTTGAAGATCTAGCAAAGAAACCATAGTTGACCAAAGGGGACTCCGATTCCCATCAGCCCCAGTCAGTAGCTAGACTACAAATCCCATCAGCACCAAGACAATCACCGTCACGAGATGGCTGTGCTGGCTGGTGCTGATGGGAGTTCTAGTCCAAAACTTTTGAAGGGCATCCGGTTGGGGAAAGTAGATGGTGGGGAGCCTCCCGCCGGACTTACATAGATCATCCAGGCGGCGTAGCGCTCCTTCAGATTGTAGAGGACGGCCGCTTCGTGCAGGAAGGTCAACATGGCCATGTCTTCAATCTTGTCGAACTTGGGCGGGTTCTGCTGGTGGACGTCCGCCTCCTTCACTGTCACCATCTGGGGGGGGGGGTTAGCAGAAACCATCGTCCGGATCCCACAATCAAAAACCCGACCCGCCAATTCCCATCGGACCTTTAAGCCTCCCACTTCCCCGTTTGGGTCCTGGCCTTTGACAGACGCAAAAGCCACAGCCCCATTTCCGCTGTCCTCTTTGAACATTGCGAGTTCGTTGGCTTTACACTATCCTGCTCTCCTCAAAAATCATAAAAACGTGAGAAAAGCCTGCTGGATCAGGGCTGAACGGCCCATTTCCTCCAGCATCCTGTTCTCACGGTGGCCAACCAGATGCCCACGGGATACCCACAAGCGGCAACTGAGCGCACTGTCTCCCCTCCTGCCATTTCCAGCAACTGGTACTCATTCCTGCCTCTGACTGCAGAGGCTGAAAATAGCCATGGTTAGCTTTGTCCTCCACAAACTGGTCCACAACCCGCTTTTAAAGCCATCCAGATGGGCAACCCTCACTGCCTCTTGTGGCAATGAGTTCCGCAGTTTAACGATGCGCTGCGGAAAGAAGCAAATTCTTTCCCCCTGCCCCAAATCTTCCAATATTCGGCTTCGCTGCAGATGAGCGTCTTCACAAACATGAACCCCTCCTTGGCCCATTGCCCGCCCCCCGCCCCAGAGCTTTCTTGTCAATGCTCTTCACTGTTCGAGCCCCAAGGATTCTCATTCCATTAGGGGACGGGCTCTTGCTTTGCACCCGGACGGTTCCAGGAACCGCCTCTCCTGGTATGCCTCACAGAGGACCTTAAGGTCCATGAACAACCATAGTTTAGAGGTCCCAGGCCCTAAGGAAGTCAGACTATCCTCCACCAGGGCCAGGGCCTTTTCAGTGATGGCTCCAACCTGGTGGAATGCTGTCCCATGAGACCAGGGCCCTGCAGGATTTAACCTTCCATTGGGCCTGTAAGACAGAGCTATTCTGCCTGGCCTTTAATTTGAATCCAGCCTGATCTTTTATTTCCATTCTCTTCCCTCCCCTTTTATGAAGATCACCCGCTCTGAGACCCCACAGCTAATTCTCCCCTGGCCTCCTCGCTGGCCCAAGTAGGACCAATTCAGCCAGCTAGCCTTAGGGAATATCTAATGTTTATTTCCCCTAAATTGATCTTTGAATTTTATTGTTATTCATGTTTTTATACTGTATTTTATGCTGCTTTTATAATTAAGTGTTTTAAATTTGTTGTTGGCCGCCCTGAGCCCGGTTTTTGAACCGGGAAGGGCGGGGTATAAATTAAAATTTATTATTATTATTATTATTATTATTATTATTAATTCCTGGTGCCTCCAGATACAGCTAAGTCCTGGACAGCCTCTGCCATTCAGTGTAGACAACGCTGAACTAGGTGGACCAGTGGGTCCTTCCTCAGGACAAGGCAGATTCCTATGTCCCTGCCCACCTCTTTTGCAAAGTCCAGACTCTGCGTTGAAGCGGGTTGGGCTAGATGACCCTTAGGGTCCCCTCCTGCAATTCTGTGATTCTGTCCTCTGATTCTTTGCACCGCCCTTGCCACAGACCTTGCCGTTCTCGGTTTGCACGGTGACCATGCCTCCCTCGCGGCTCGTGACCTTGCCCTTGACGAACTCTTCCTTCTCGTCGGGCACGAAGCACTCCGTGCGGATGTCGAAGATCCGGGTCTGGGCCTCCAGGCGCTCCTTGTCCGATTTCCGGAGGTAGGGAGCCGCCGCCCCGAACTCGGCCATCACGGCGTCACCCATCCTGCGCGGCAGAAGAAGGCAGGGAGGGCATGAGAGAAGCAAGAGAAAGACTGCCATCCCCGGTACACAGCACCCCCGGTAACTTTCCAGCAAGGATGGGGAGCCTGTGACCTTCTAAGGGCTGTTGGACTCCGATTCCCATAAGCGCCAGCAGCCAGCATGATGGGAGTTGTAGTCCAACAACTCGTTGAAGGTACTGCATCGTTTCTCAGTGGCCTACTCATGCCTAGTAGTGGGAGAATCTGTCAGTTCCAGTTTCTCACAAGCTGTGGACACACCATATACAGTGGTACCTCGGGTTACATACGCTTCAGGTTACAGACGCTTCAGGTTACAGACTCCGCTAACCCAGAAATAGTGCGTCAGGTTAAGAACTTTGCTTCAGGATAAGAACAGAAATCGTGTTCCGGCGGCGCGGCGGCAGCAGGAGGCCCCATTAGCTAAAGTGGTGCTTCAGGTTAAGAACAGTTTCAGGTTAAGTACGGACCTCCCGAACGAATTAAGTACTTAACCCGAGGTACCACTGTAATTTAAGCGTGCAAACGCACACCTGAGACTCTTGGGAACTGTATTTTGTTACAGGAGTTGTAGTTCTGCAAGGGGTAAACTACAGTTCCCACGATTATCTGGGCTGGGGGGGAAATGTGCTTTTAATAATCATCATCATCATCATCATCTTTATTGCGGTCCAAAAACCCGTAACATAGACACAGAATAAAATGCAGATTCATATAGACAACCGCCTGGGAGAGGGAGACCGAGATGATATTTGTTTAGTCTTAAGTATGATGATCTTTGATACGTATGACTACCGAGAGAAACTTTGCCACGGCCACTGTGATATCATTAGACTTGTCGTCCAGAAGATATTTAGTATAGTAGGCTTCAGATTTACCCGGCCGATTTGCCGGAAGGGGTTTGATGTGCTTTTAATGTACACAATCTCAGTTTCTATTTTTTTCAGCCTTAATCGCTGAATCTAGACATTTTTTTAAAAAAAGCTGTGAAAATGCTTTTTTAAAAAAACGTTTTAAAATACATACGGAATTCCCCATTAGCTCACCATTGCCATCTAGTGTCACACTTGTATAATGCATTTAAAACGTTATATCTGCAGCTGTATAGCTGAGTTGGCTCTCTGCATCTCCATATCAGTTTGCAGTGAAAACAAAAAAAAAAAGTCCCCATGAAAGTTCATAAGCATTCTATCGTATATTCTATCGTAATATATGCTTGAATGAGCTTTTGCCTGATAAGACACATTTTTGCAGAGCAATTTCCCCCTATACAATTCATTTCATACAATTCAGTTCATATATGGGGAGACACGGGGGAGACGCGACAGAAAGGTTGAGACAAGGTCATCCTACCTGTTAGAGCCTTGGAGGAGGAAGATTGGAGTCTGAGAAAAGAAATAAAAAGAATTGGTGGAGGAAGAACGAGTGTCAGGCTTGAGTCAGGAACCGGTCGTTGGCATCTTCTCTCTGAGCAGGTGCGAAAAGCAGCTGGAGCAGCTGCCTCTTAGGAAAGTCTGGGCCAAAGGTTGGTGGGTGGAAGGGGAAGGGGTTGCAAAAACTAATAATAATAATAATAATAATAATAATAATAATTTTTTATTTATATCCCGCCCTCCCCAGCCAAAGCCGGTCTCAGGGCAGCTAACAACAATAAAATAATACAACATTCATAGCCTTCTTGGGGAGGATAAATGCCTCCCATCTCCTTCTTCCATCCAAGCAACCCCCACATTTTTCTTCGCCTGTAATAGTCACCCGCTCCTCCATCCAGCCTCTAACACAGGGGTCAGCAAACATTTTCAGCAAGGGACCAGTCCACTGTCCCTCAGACCTTGTGGGGGGCTGTACTATATTTTGAAGGGGGGTGGAAAATGAACGAATTCCTATGCCCCATGAATAACCCAGAGATGCATTTTAAATAAAAAGACACATTCTACTCATGTAAAAACACGCTGATTCCTGGACCGTTAGCAGGCTGGATTTAGAAGGCGATTGGGGCGGATCCGGTCCCCGGGCTTTAGTTTGCCTACCCATGCTCTAACATTTTGCTTCTTCCCTGCTCCAACTGTGAGCCGTGGCCTCAATCGCCCCCTCCCCATAAGCTCCCCCACCCCCATGCATACAGGGAACTGTAGTTCCTTACCCACTCATCTCCAAACCCTCCTCTGGCCTTCCTTTGTCGCCTTCCACAAAAATATTTTTCTTCTTTCTTCGTTTTATGTCACACACCTCCTCTGGGGGCGGGGGGGGGACCCTCTTCTATCCGTAGGACTATCTTACTGCTCTGGACTGGGTTGTATACATTTAAAGCAGACAACCCACAAATAATTCTGGGAACTGTAGTTCCTTAAGGGGGCAGGGACCTGCAGCTCTGTGGTGGGTAAACTACAAAATTGCTTTGAAACCTGCGTTAAATGTGTGGTGCGCATGCAGCCCAAGTGTTAATTTCAAGTTTCCAGTCCTCAGTGCTCTCGAAGCCCTCTCTTTGCCTTCATTTTCCTTCCCTGTTTACTACAAACTCTACTTGCCCCCTCCCCATATTGTTTCCTTCTTCAGTCAATGATATATAAATACCTCCTCCCTCTCTGTTAACTCGCCTCTCCCCCTGTCCCCTTGTAGGTAGTAGCAAGCATCTTTCTTCAAAAGCCCCGTCATCCACAAAGCTTTTATTCACGCACCTCACCGTCATATGTGACCGATAGATTTTTCGCAAGCCCCCTTGGGGAGCTCTGGAAAAAAGACCTGTGAAACTCAAAAGCTTACTTCCACAAACCAGAACCTCCATCCTCACAGTTTGTTTGCCCTTGCCGTACGCCTGGCCTACAGACACCAGACAGATGCACCCAGGTGTGTCTAAACCACACAGGTAAGTAGGCAGGTGTCTGTATGCCAGGGAGGTCACTGGCACTTCCGCAAATATGTAAGCCACTTACAGATTATTGCTATCATCTGTTCAGATAATAGATCAAACTTGCTAAAGAAATAAACGTTGATCCCTACGAAAGCAAACATGGACCAACCCGTCTAGGGTCACAGCTATACTACAAATCTGAAGCTCCCAGCCCCATGGGTTCCCCTAAAGAATCATGGGAACTGTAGCTCACGCACCACAGAGCTGCAATTCCCAGCACCTGAAATAAACAGTTCTCAATAATCTTTGGGGGAACATGGTGCTTACATGACCTCAGCAGCAACAGAAACAGCATCTCAGCCCTCTTATTCTGGGTCCAGCTTGGAAGAAAATATTTGCAGCCGAAATACATTTTCCTTCCTTCGCATCCTTTCCTGACCCACACGTCCGAGACCCCCAATTTATTTATTCCCTCCACTACGCCCACCCCACAAGCCCCACCGGACACCCCCAGACCAGAAATCTCTTACGCCAGGACACGGAGGTAACTCAGCCTGGAGTCCAGCAAGATCTGAGCCTTTGGACCAACCCCCATCCCTTTATATCCTCCTGTCCGAAATAGCATCACCCCCCAGCCCAGTCTTCCGCCCCCCCCACTCCCTGAAACAGGCCCGTCGCAGCTGTGAGTGACATGATGACAAGGATTCGGAGAGATGGCTCCGCGAAGGACCAGTCTGACCATGAATGGCGCTCGTCTTCATCCCTTCAACTGTCCTCCCCCCTCCACAACCTCTCCTCTCTGCAGCCCCTGATTCCCAGAGGAGGGAGGCACATTCCTCAGTGGGGGACAGGAGGCTCGGTGCTGTCAGTGGCTGATAAGCGCCCGGGAAGTGAGCTGGAATGACAGCATGTTTCAGGTCTATGCAAGTGTATGAAGATGCTAGGCCAGGGAGGGAGACAATGCAATGATAAGGAGAAGACTTTGCCGATGGAGAGGAGAGTCTGAGACGCACAGAATTGGGCTCGGAAGGAAGGAATCACGTGCATATCTCTAAAACAAGGGGTTTTGGGGGGCACAAGTTCTGCTCGTGTTATCTATTTTTTAAAAAAAGATATGCATTTTTAAAAAATCAGATCAGTTTGCAACAATTATCCATCGATGCCAAAACGTAAAAATTAGGAAAGCAGCTAACTATTATGGAAAGACGGTATTTTTAATTGCCTGCATAAGTTTCCAGCAGACCTTTAAAAACTGAAAAGGAAGGTGCTTGCTGAATGTCAACAGGTGCAGCATTCCAGACCTCTGGGACGATGACACTAAAGGCTGTACATTAATATAGACCAGAGCTTTCCAAATTTTGCATGTTGCTGGCGCACTTCTTAGATCTGCGCCATTTCGCGACACAGTAATTGAGTTTTGCATCGTTTCGCGACACAGTACAGTGGTACCTCGGGTTAAATACTTAATTCGTTCTGGAGGTCCGTTCTTAACCCAAAACTGTTCTTAACCTGAAGCGCCACTTTAGCTAATGGGGCCTCCTGCTGCTGCTGTGCCACCGGAGCACGATTTCTATTCTCATCCTGAAGCAAAGTTCTTAACCCGAGGTACTATTTCTGGGTTAGCGGAGTCTGTAACCTGAAGCATATGTAACCCGAGGTACCACTGTAGTTCAGTTTTAGTAGCAAACCAGAGGTTAAACTAACCCCTTTCCAGTCCCGGGAGGAGTGTGGGGAGCGTTCGTGCGACACACCGACACACTGCAGCCGACACACTAACATGTCGTGTGACACAGTTTGGAAAGCTCTGCTATAGGTGTTTAATCTAGGAATGACAGATTATTCTTATTGCTGGCATTAGCTGACGTGGCACCTTCCTTCTTCCTTTTTGTTAACATGCAGTAGAATAAAACAAATCATACCATCGTAGAATCACGATTGTAGAAAGCGGCTTCACAGTGCTTTCAATGTACAGTATGGTGCAAACAGGGTCTTACTTAGAGCGCAACTCGTATGATTTTATCATTTATTAAATTTATATAACTCCCTTGCTCTGAAAAACACAGGACGGTATACAGTAGAGTCCTGCTCGGGAGCATCTGTGGCGTGAAAAGCTGCAAGATTTCAGAAGGAATGCACACCGATTGAAAACTGTAAGACGGCCACGAATTTTTTCAGGTGCATTGCATAGGAGCGGGTTGGACTAGATGACCCTTGGTCACCAACTCTACGGCCCTGCGATTCTTCGCATGGCTGCCAATCATCACCGGTGCGCGGACAGGATGTCCCTTGCGAAGGAGGGATGACGCTCAAAGAATGCCGTGGGGGGCGGGTGGGAGAGAGGGAAATGTCTGCCTTTGACCTCTGCCCTCCCCTCCAAACCACCCTGGTCACCTTCCCTGACCTTGGGCGGACGGCATGGGGGTTGTTTGAGGGAACGGGGGGCCTCGGAGGGCGGTCAGAGATGGGGAGCTGGAATTAGCTCTCTCCCTCCACCTCCAACCCCCCCCCCCGGGAACTTCACGCCTTCCCAAGGCCTTTGGGACCAGGGTGCTGATTCTCAGCTGCCATTGTTGACTGGCGCTGATTCTCAGCTGCTATTGTTGACCGGCCGAGGGAGGGATGGGGAATGGGGGACAGGTGCTCGGAGCCAGGATAAGCCCAGGGGTGGGATTAAGCGGCCGGAGGGGGGAGATGGAGGTTTTGGCGGGGTTTGGGGATTAACACCTGTTTTGTTTGTGGCACTAGGATGCTTTCGGATCATTTCCTGGGCCCGGCTCTCTTTTGTTGCGGGGGGCGGGAGGAAGCGGTCCGTGCTGGCGTGCAGTGGCTGATGGGGGGGCGAGCCCAAAAGGCCCAGAGAAGTGAGAGCTAAGATGCTTTTTAGGTGGGGGTGGATGGCAGCAGCTGGACTGGGGTGCTGAGTGGGACGGTGCCTCACGGCAGGACAAAGGCAGGTGGAGCGCGAGATTGCAGGGCTTGATTTCGTACTGACGCATCCACAGCCCTTTGTATATCCCGCAGAACTGTGATGGTGCCTCTGTGACGGCAGAATCTGTTTTTGCCCTAAGGTTCTAGTCCTCATCGCTGGCACGGTTAAAGGAGGTGGCAAGGAAGGTCTTCTTGTGGCCGGTAGGTGGGCCTTAACCATCCTGCAAAGCACAGGTTGTAGGAGCAGAATAATTTGTCACTGAATTTATTTACGATTAAACTGCAATCTATTCCGCTTCGTTCCTTCTGTACACAAGATCCATCTCTTCCTGGTGGATAACTTTAATTGTTGTTATTTATTAAATTTGTATACCGCTCTTCATCTGAAGATCTCAGGGCGATTCGGAGCATTAAAAGGCAAAATTAATATGCACAACTTAGACCAGGCACCCCCAAACTTGGCCCTCCAGATGTTTTGGGACTACAATTCCCATCACCCCTGACCACTGGTCCTGTTAGCTAGGGATGATGGGAGTTGTAGTCCCAAAACATCTGGAGGGCCGAGTTTGGGGGTGCCTGACTTAGACTGAAAGAAGCCGTATGAGGCATATCCTGGGCTTAAAACAGATATTCTGGCTTCTTCTCAGATTGTATAAATCTTTCTTCTTTTAAATTAGTAGAAGTTGTGACTTCCTGATGCAGATTTTTTGTTCTGTGACTGTCAGGCACTTTGTCAGATGGCCCTCGAGACTCGGATGCGAGGAAACGGCACACAGCACATGCTCAGAGGTTCTCTGATGAACAGCCCCCAGTCTGGTTGCACACTGCATTGGTAACCTACAGATCCAGTGAGTATTTGCTTTTATTTATTTATTTTGCAAGAACTATGGACGGTTTGAATATAACAAAACTTCAGAGTGGTTTACAGAAAGAATAAAGCAATGGGGGGGGGTGGAATTTAAGGCAACTGTTTGAAACATTCAGAAAATATAATTGAAATCAACGATGCGCTAAAGATAATACTAAAGCATGTGTCAACACTCTACATGTCTGGTTAGACTTTTTTCTTTCTTTCCAAAGGTGCCTTTATTACCTGCGTATTTTCCAACGGATTTTCAATTGTTAGCAAGGTGTCATATGCAAAGTATGCTTATTTTCTGTTTTCCATTTTTACTTATTCCTTTTGTATTTCCATCGTCTCAAATTACATTGGCCAGAGATTCAATGCCCAATACAAATAAAATTGGGGAAAGGGGGAATCCTTGTCTTGTACCTCGGGCTAGTGTTCTTTGTTCTGTTATACCATCGTTCACTACAATGGATGGGTAAAAGGTAAAGGACCCCTGGATGGTTAAGTCCAGCCAAAGGTGACTATGGGGTTGCGGCACTCATCTCATTTTCAGGCCGAGGGAGCCACTGTTTGTCCACAGACAGCTTTCCGGGTCATGTGGCCAGCAGGACTAAACCACTTATGGCACAACGGGGCACTGTGATGGAAACCAGAGCGCACAGAAACATCGTTTACCTTCCCGCCACAGCAGTACCTATTTATCTAGTTGGCATGCTTTCAAACCGCTAGGTTGGCAGAAGCTGGGACAGAGCAATGGGAGCTCACCCCGTCACAGGGATTCGAACCGCCGACCTTCTGATTGGCAAGCCCAAGAGGCTCAGTGGCTGAGACCACAGCACCACCCGCGTCCCTAAATGGACTACAATGTATAGTCTTGCCTAAAACAAGTGTTTTTAAGCAGAGCACAAAAAGAGCACAGTGAAAGCGAATGTCTGTTGTCAACAGGCAGGGAGTTCCAATGAGTGGGATAATGCAGTTCGTTTGCACTCTTGCACTCTTTTGTCCCTTGGGGCAAGGGCAGGAAAGGATCATGTGATCTGGAACGCCCCCCTCCCCCCATGTTGCCAATACAACATGAAGCCACATGGTTTTCACGAGAAGACAGCAAATGACTCAGACCAAAGTCACCTTCATTAGCGAGAACGAGATGCTGTTGGTTCCCATTTTCTGCTTATTTTCTGTATCACCCAAGCACCAACAACACTGGCCTGTTGATTTTTTAAATGTTACAAACTTTGGCCAAGCTTGGGGTTCTGAAGAAGAAGAAGAGTTTGGATTTGATATCCCGCTTTATCACTACCTGAAGGAGTCTCAAAGCGGCTCACATTCTCCTTTCCCTTCCTCCCCTACAACAAACGCTCTGTGAGGTGAGTGGGGCTGAGAGACTTTAGAGAAGTGTGACTGGCCCAAGGTCACCCAGCAGCTGCATGTGGAGGAGTGGGGAAGTGAACCCAGCTCACCAGATTACGAGTCTACCACTCTTAACCACTACACCATACTGGAGACTTTGCATGTGTGTATCTTTAGTAACTATCACCCCCCCCCAAAAAAATTGACTATTAGGAGTAATCCCGGAGTAAATTGCAGCAGAATTACAGGCACAATAAACAAAGCGACTAGCAAAACAATAAATAATGGCATACAGTAGGGTTGCTATACGTCTGGAATTTCCCGGACATAGCTGGTATTCAGCCCTTGCAAATAAAGCTCAACAACTTGATAACTTTTGTGTCTGGATTTTCACTTTCGAAATATGGAGAGCCTGCTGGAAGAGTTAATTATGGCCCATCTAGACATGGCGACTGGGACATTTGCAGGGAAACCAAAATGCTTGTTTACAAAGCTATTGTACTACCAACCTTCCTGTATGCTTGTGAAACACAGACCACTTATAAATGCCATCTCCAACTCATTGAAAGATTCCATCAACGGTGTCTCTTAAAAATTTTACACATCACTTGGGAAGACAGGGAAACTAATGCCAGTGTACTGGAAGAAGCAAAGATCACCAGTGTTGAAGCAATGATTCTTCAACATCAACTTTGCTGGACTGGTCATGTTGTGCGGATTCCTGATTATCGTCTTCCAAAGCAACTACTCTATTCCCAACTTAAAAAGGGGAAGTGTAATGCTGATGGTCAACAAAAGAGGTTTAAAGGCTCTCAAGGCAAATCTAAAAAAATGTAGTATAAACACTGACAGTTGGGAAACACTGGCTTGCGAGCACTCCAGTTGGAGAACAGCCAAAGGTGTCCTGGGCTTTGAAGACGCTCAAACTCAGAACAAAAGGGAGAAATGTGCTAGGAGGAAGGCACATTTGGCAAACCTTCACCGTGATCGACTCTCATCTGGAAACCTACATCCCCACTGTGGAAGGACATGTGGATCCAGAACTGGCCTCCACAGTCACTTACGGACTCACTGTTAAGACGGTGTTCATGGAAGACAATCTTACTTGGCTAAGAGTGATCACCAGAGACGAAGAAGTAGAAGCAAAGAAGCATATAGAGATGTCTGGGGATACAGCACACTGTTTGCCCGTGGTTTCCATCAACTGGGGTTCAAGAAAACTGTTGAAAACAGTTTTAAAAACAACTTGCAGTCACAACAATTGGTTGGGTCCCAAAAATATGCACCTCAAGGGTTAAAAACCAGGATAAAGAGGTGTGTTTTCTGAGTCCTCCAGAAGCTGTAGAATGACAGTGCAGGATGCACCACTGTGGGGGATACCCCCTCTTTTCTACAAAAAAGCATGTTTCCCCAATACAATGCATGCTTGCATGTTGTTTTCAGAAACAGAGGACAAAGTTTTGCTTTGTCTTCTTGTGTTGCAAGTTCTGGGAGGAAGGAGGGAATCTGCTTAAAAATTAAACAGGGAAACGTTTGGATTTTTATGCACACTGTTTCGTGTTTCTGCACTCTTTTTTTGGATGGAGAACAACATCACAAAATCCATTTCCAATGAGAGCTGTGGTTTTGTTTAGTGGATTTCTCTGGCCAGTTTGAATTTCTCCCCAACCCCCTGACATCCCTATCGGAGACCTACAGGCCACTTCTGTGGTCTGTCTGGACAGGTGCATGAGAGGAATGTGAAAAAGCCACGACAACACGGGAAGAGCCATCTGGGGCCATCTAGCCCAGCCTCTTCTTCTCACAGTGGCTGACCACATGCCTATTGGAAACCCACAATCAGGATTCGAACACAAGAGCCTTCTCCCCTCCTGTGGTTTCCAGCACAACTGGCATTCAGAAGCATTGCTGCCTCTGACCGTAGTCATCGATAGCCCTCTCCTCCATGAATTTGTCCAATCCTATTTTAAAGCCATCCAAGTTTGTGGCCATCTCTTCCTCCTGCAGCAAGAATGCTACTTGCCCCAAAATGGAAAGAAGCAGAAGCCCCAGCAAAGGAAGAACGTATACAAAAACTTATGGAATATGTGGAAATGGCGAAACTAACCGGAAGAATAAGAAATCAAGATAACAAACGTTTTATAAAAGAATGGAAATGGTTTATTGAATATTTACAGATAAATTGTAAACAGATAAAAACATTGGCAGGATTATTGTAATAACCTGCAGATTCATAAAAGTATATATTGAAAGCACAGTGGTACCTCAGGTTACATACGCTTCAGGTTACATACGCTTCAGGTTACAGACTCTGCTAACCCAGAAATATTGCTCCAGGTTAAGAACTTTGTTTCAGGATAAGAACAGAAATTGTGCTCCGGCAGCGCGGCGGCAGCGGGAGGCCCCATTAGCTAAAGTGGTGCTTCAGGTTAAGAACAGTTTCAGGTTAAAAACAGACCTCCGGAACGAATTAAGTACTTAACCCGAGGTACCACTGTAGATAATTAAATGAGCAAATTAAATGAATTTGGATATGCAGAAGATATTTTAAAAAGTTAATGTAAGGAACCGCAGGAAGAGGGAAAAGGAAGTCCAACTGCGAAATGTTAAATCGATTGTGAAATTAATGAAATGTATAAACTTGAAAAAGTATGAATGAAACCATAAAAAGGAAAGGAAAGTCCCAAATGCCGTAACCTTCTCTCCCTTGCAGGGACGTCGCTCTAGCTAAGTCGTAGCTGTCTGCCGACGTCTGTCTCTTTAGGGTGGGATTTTGGGGGGGTTTGGGGGGTTGAAACAGAGAGAGCCAAACGTCAGTTGGGGGTTGGATGTGGGGAGCAAGGGGTCGGAGGCTGGGATCCTCGCTGTCGGTATCTGGGAGTGCTGCATTCCCTCGTCTCTGGCAAATATGTCTCTTCACACCCAGCTGCTGTTGACAGCTTCCCAGCCTTGGCTCGCTTTCTGGAATCCTGGTCTTTTTATATCGAGACAAAAAGAAGAAGGGGATAGCTTATGGGGTGGGTGGCGGCAGTGGGTTGGGGGGGGAGAGAAGAGTTAATTATCTTGAGGCCTTTGTCTCTCCTCCTGCGCTAGCGAAAAAGCATCCGCAGGAGAGAGGCTGGAGGAATTGAATCTGGCCTGGTTCCCCGAACATAATGTCCACTTAGTTGGTATAAAGTGGTGATACCCAAACAAGAGGGCAACTGTTATCCAGGAAGAGGTGTGAGATTCCGGGGATTTGGAGAGGGGGGGCACACACGCACAAAGAGGGTGTCGGTGCAGAGATGCAAATGCGCAACCCAAGCCTAATGTCATCTGCAACAGAATTTGGGTTGAGTTGACCTCACTGCCGTTGAAACTGTGCCCCGTCCTCTGCTATGGGGAATTAGCTCTCACCGAGCCGTCTCTAAAAAGTAGAGACATCACCTTGCCAGCAAAGGTCCGTATAGTAAAAGCTGTGGTTTTCCCAGTAGTGATGTATGGAAGTGAGAGCTGGACCATAAAGAAGGCTGATCGCTGAAGAATTTATGCTTTTGAATTCTGGTGCTGGAGGAGACTCTTGAGAGTCCCATGGACTGCAAGAAGATCAAACCTCTCCATTCTGAAGGAAATCATCCCTGAGTGCTCCCTGGAAGGACAGATCCTGAAGCTGAGGCTCCAAGACTTTGGCCACCTCATGAGAAGAGAGGACTCCCTGGAAAAGACCCTGATGTTGGGAAAGATGGAGGGCACAAGGAGAAGGGGACGACGGAGGACGAGATGGTTGGACAGTGTTCTCGAAGCTGCCAGCATGAGTTTGACCAAACTGCGGGAGGCAGTGGAAGACAGGAGGGCCTGGCGTGCTCTGGTCCAGGGGGTCACGAAGAGTCGGACACAACTAAACAACAACAACAAGAGCTGTCTCTGCTGGCCCCTTCTGTCCCGAGCCCCCAAACCCACAACTCGGGTCCCTCCTCTGTTCCTCCAATATGGCCCTCAGCCCCTCAACCTCATGAACTCCGTTCCTTTGCTTGGGTGAGACAACCTCTTATCTCTGAACCAGAAGGCTCAATTGCCCCACACTTGCCCCTTCCTGCTCTAGCGGTGCCCCACAACCATCCTCAAGCCCTGCCAAGTATCCCCCCAAATAACCCAACACAGCCTGCATTGAGATACACCAGGGCTCCTCAGGTTGGCCCTGGGCCCTCCAACATCCCACCTTCATCCCAGTTCTGCTGATCTCTTTTATAAGACCCTCCAAGTGTCCCTAATTTCCAGGGATAGCCCCAGATTTAAAGAAGCCGTCCCGGTTTCTCATTTGATCCCAGAATGTGCTGCTTTTCCTTTGGACGTCTCTATTTTCACCAGAGAAATGTTGGAGGGTATGGAGTTGGGCGAAATCCCCCCCCCCCAAGGCAAGGAGATAAGTAACTAGACAACTTTTAGAAGACATCTGAAGGCAGCCCTGTACAGTCATACCTCGGGTTACAGACGCTTCAGGTTGCGTTTTTTCGGGTTACGGACGCACCGAAACCCGGAAGTACCAGAACGGGTTACTTCCGGGTTTCAGCGGTCGCGCATGCGCAGAAGTGCTAAATCACTCTTTGCACATGCGCAGAAGCACTAAATCACAACCTGCGCGTGCGCAGACATAACGCTGTGCGTTGCGAACGTGCCTCCCGCATGGATCACGTTCGCAACCCGAGCATCCACTGTATAGGGAAGGGTTTTTTTAATGTCTAATGTTTTATTACATTTTTATATATGTTGGAAGCCACCCAGAGTGGCTGGGGCAACTCAGTCAGATAGGTGAGGCACTATTATTATTATTATTATTATTATTATTATTATTATTATTATTTAAAAAAAAAACAGGATATCCCTATTTTCATTGGAGAAATGTTGGAGGGTATGTCAACGGCTATGCTTTTGCCTCCATGGTCAGAGGCACCAATGCTTCTGAATACCAGTTGCTGGAAACCGTAGAAAGTGAAAATTATATACCTTTAGGTGCCAGGCAAAAAACGTTCCTCTTTAAGCAGTCTTTTGGCTGATTGACATCCAACCAACGCCCTTTCAAAATGTGTTAGGTAGGCGTGGGATTATCGTGTTGTTCTTGTTCTTGTGTTTATCATGCGTTTTATGCTGTTGCGATTCTATCTTGTGAACCCCCAAGACCTGCGGGTATAGGGTGGTATACAAATTTAATTAAAAATTTAAAAATGCTCTTGTGCCCAAGTTCCGCTTGCAGGTTTCCCGCAGGCATCTAGTCTAAGCTTATCAGATTTTTTCCCCAATGAATCTGGGGACACTTTTTAACTTCCTACTAAATAGATGGATTTTGTCAGGGGACTGATTTGTAAATCCGAGGACTGTCCCCGGGAAACGGGGATGTCTGGCAACCTTAATCTAGTCAGCGAGAACGGGATTCTGGTCTCGATGGGTCATGGGCTTCTGATCCAGCCGGGCTCTTCTGGTTTTCCTCTCATCCCTCTCATCAGCTTGCCTGACGCCTTCTAAGCCAGGCCCCAAACCCGCAAGAGACGAGGGTCAGCAGGGGGCTGGGCGAGAGAGAGACAACTGTCTTTCGGAGGGAGGAGTGGAGAAGGGAGGGGGGTTTGGGTTGCCCTTGTTTTAATTCTCAGATTTAGAGCACCTGCTCGACCCAAAGACTCTGAGAACATCATGGCACGACTGGGCGAGGCAAACACAAATCGTTTCGAAACTTTACAACTATAGGTATTGAATGCGCCAGACGTGCCGCCTAGAGAGCTTCAGCAGATGCCCTGGGGCCCAGGACACCGTAAGATATAGCAAAGGGCACTTAAGAACACGTTCCTGATGAAGGAATCTCACATATAGGGGAGGAAGAGAGAATAATATGTCTTAGGAAGGGGGAAACTAAGTGGGCACGAGCTCAGGTTATGAATTTTGTAAATGGGGGGGTCTCCACACTTTTCACCTTGCTGCCCTTTCCAGCTGGTAAGCACTCCATCTGCAGGTAAGCTGCTTTCTGTTCATAGACTTGTAGACTTGGAAGGGAACCTGAGAGTCGTTTAATCCAGGGGTCCCCAAACTAAGGCCCGCAGGCTGGATAAGGCCCGAGGGACTCGTTTATCTGGCCTGCGGCGACCCCCGCCACCCGCTGCCGCTGCCCGCTCTTACCAGTGCTGCACTTCGCAGCTGCCCACTTCTGGGTTGGAGGAGCATCGGAAATAGTTTGTGCGCATGTGCAAGCATTATTTGCGCATGTGCAAGCGTTATTTCCGGTGCACATCCAGGCGGAGGAGGCCTGTGCACATGCACACAAGCTATTTCCAGTGCTTCTCCAACCCAGAAGTGCGCCAGAAATAGCATGTGCGCACACGTATGGGCACGCGCTCCCCCGCCCTCCAGCCCACCGCGCGATCGGCGCTGGAGACACCGGCCCGAGGTGCGGTAAGTTGGCTGACCCCTGGTCTAAACCAACCCCCTGCAATTCAGGAATCTCAGCTAAAGCGCCCATGGCAGATGGCCACCCAGCCTCTGCTTAGAAACCTCCAAGGAAGGTTAATCTCTGGGGAAACGTTGGAAAAGTGACTTGAAGTTTACAGCGTGTTGTTCTTTGAAGGAGAACTACCTGAAAATGATTCACAGATGGTGTAGGCTTGCTAAGATGTATGAGAGAGAATCAGATATGTGCTGGAGATGCAAAGAGGTGGAAGGAACGTTCTTTCATATGAGGTGGACTTGCAAAAGGGTAAAAGAGTTTTGGGAAATGATCCATAACGAATTGAAAAAAATGTTTTAAAGTACTTTAAAAACAACAACCAGAGTTCTATCTGTTGGGGATAACTCAGACTGAAACCCCCCAGGTGTCAAAAAATGGTTGTTTATTTATGCCACTGCTGTGCCCCATGTTTTGTTGGGAAAGCTGGGAAACGGGCGAGGTCCCAACTAAAGAATGGCAACTTAAGTCGACAGAATGTGCACTACTCGCAGACTTAACATATGGAATGAGAGAACAAGAAGAACATACGTTTAGAGAAGATTGGAAAATGTTTATTGAATAGATGGGAAATAACTGTGTACAGCTGAAAACACTGGCAGCATTAAGATAAATTCAACAGCTTTGATGGATGCAATAATGGAATACTGAATGGTATGGTTTTTGTAAAACATGCCGGGATTTATGATATGTAAATGAACCATTGAAAAAGAAGAAGGGAAGTCACTGATATCTTAAGGAGGTAAAACAAGTATCTTAAGTTGTAAAACAGAAAACTTAATCAAAATTATATATATATTTTAAAAAACCTACAAGGGAGGGGAGTCCAACACTTCCCAAGGGTTGAACAGCTTTTGCCACCCGAAAGTTCTTCCTGATGTTTAGTCGGAATCTCCTTTCTTGCCATTTGAAGCCATTGGTTCGAGTCCTGTCCTCTGGAGCCGGAGAAAACAAGCTCGCTCCATCTTTGTTGCAAAAGTGCAGAGCATGTTGTAAGTTGTTTTTATATGCAATGACGGCAGCAAGAATATTATTGGCACAAAAATGGAAGCAAGAAGAATTACCGACGTAAGAAGAATGGCAGATGAAATTAACGGACTATGCAGAATTAGATAAATTAACAGGAAGGATTCGAAACCTGCGGGACCAGAGATTCTTAGAAGACTGGAGTAAATATTTGAACTATTTGAAAAGCAATTGTAATTAACAGATTGCGCTAGTAGGACTGCAAGAAGTTCTGTAAGGAGGACTACTCGAAATATTGCAAGAAAGACTATGAAGAGAGTTATTTGTTGTTGTTGTTTAGTCGTTTAGTCGTGTCCGACTCTTCGTGACCCCATGGACCAGAGCACGCCAGGCACCTCTGTCCTCCACTACCTCCCGCAGTTTGGTCAAACTCATGCTGGTAACCTCGAAAACACTATCCAACCATCTCGTCCTCCGTCGTCCCCTTCTCCTTGTGCCCTCCATCTTTCCCAGCATCAGTGTCTTCTCCAGGGAGTCTTCTCTTCTCATGAGGTGGCCAAAGTCTTGGAGCCTCAGCTTCAGGATCTGTCCTTCCAGTGAGCACTCAGGGCTGATTTCCTTCAGAATGGAGAGGTTTGATCTTCTTGCAGTCCATGGGACTCTCAAGAGTCTTCTCCAGCACCATAATTCAAAAGCATCAATTCTTCGGCGATCAGCCTTCTTTATGGTCCAGCTCTCACTTCCATACATCACTACTGGGAAAACCATGGCTTTAACTATACGGACCTTTGAAGAGAGTTATTAGTTAATGATAATTAAAAGTAATAGAGAAATTAAGAAATGCAGAACAAGTGATAAAGAACAGAAAATCTTCAGAGGTTGTTGACGGAAGTCTAAAATATTGTATAAGAAAAGAAGTTATGTTAAATGATTGTTGGAAATGACATGTTAAAAAAACATGCTTTAAAAAGCAAAAGTACAGAGCATGGGTTATTATTTATGTGCAAAGTAAGTACTGTATTTTGTAGAGAAATAAATAAACTGACAAAACAACATGAGAGTCATGGGATTCCATGGGGCGAACCAGTTCAGAGCTGGTGCAGATTAATAGGCAGAGGACTGACAAGTACATTCCTCCCCACTTTTCTTCCAGCTCACAGCTGTCTCCTGCCCCCTCCCACCCCACGACCTAAGACCCTCCCCTCACCAGCCAGGCCAGCATCCCCTCCTCCTGTCAGATTAATCCCAAGCAAGAAGAGGCAAGGGGATATTGAGTTCTGGAGCCCTCAGACCACCAGGTACTTTTGCACAGTACTAGAAATGTATCAAGCTGCACATTTGGGCTGGGCTGGGCTGGGGAGGCGCAGAGATTTCCTTTTTCTGTAAATGTATTTTTATTTCCTTGTGTAACGTATACAAAACCGTAGATGGAAATCGAAAGATGAGAGGCAAAACTATAAAGCAGGGGTAGAATGAGTTGTGCATGGGTTAAGTTTGGGAAAAGTGCAAGTAAAGAATATCGGCATGATTTGATTGTCAAGCGTCGTTCCAATTTTTCTGGGCTTGTGATGAGGTTTGTCTTGAAAATGATGGTTCCGCTGAATGTGTAATAAAGGAATGCCAAATGACATAAAAAGCGTCCTGTCAAAATCTCAAATTATGAGTAGTTTTCTCCATTATTGCTATATTCCAGAGCGAGTGGTAAATTCTGGGTTGTTTTCCATTGAGTTGCAATGACTATTTGAGCTGCCGAGACCATATACAAGACCAATTCTTTTGTCAATATATCTGTATTGAACTTATTCAGTAGCATTCATCTTGGACCACGGCGTAGAGATTTTCTATTGGGGAAAAGAGGCATTTGGGTGCAAAGAAGGAATATTTTGGGTCCCCTTTGTTTCCCATTCTCCACAAGATGCTCAGCTTGCCCGGGAGAGAGACACAGAGAGAAAGAAGAGCTGGTGTATGAAGCTTGCAAGAAGAGGCAAGCTTTGGAGCTACACAGAGCAGTTTATCACACGGGCCGGGAAGATAGCTCCATTCCCTGTTGTCTATAGGCACTTTAAGAGAGCAACAACGCCGGTTAAGGAGATGGTGCTGGGAGATTCAGATTCATTATCCTGTTGGTGCTGATCAATGTTTTAATGCACTTTTAAGTGGACATTAAACGTGTGTTGTGATTAGGCTGTTATCTTTCTGCCTGAAGTTAATGATGTCTGCATTTATAACCAAGGTGTCTTTCTGGGGAGCTGCTTGGAGGCAGTTTTGAACAGGGAGTTCCCTGACAGCTCCCTCCCACCGGGTACGATACGATGATACGATAATCTTTATTGTCATTGTCCCATACAGAACGACGAAATTGAAAAATCTACATCAGACATTCAAAAACCAACAAGCCTGCTATCCCAGCTATCCCAACCTGATTAGCCCCCTAAAAACTCTGATACCCCATAATTAAATACAATATACTCCCATAGAGACTCCTTAAAGGTAAAGGTAAAGGGACCCCTTGACCCTTAGGTCCAGTTGTGGCCGACTCTGGGGTTGCGGCGCTCATCTTGCTTTATTGGCCGAGGGAGCCGGCGTACAGCTTCCGGGTCATGTGGCCAGCAAGACTAAGCTGCTTCTGGCGAACCAGAGCAGCGCACAGAAACGCAGTTTACCTTCCCGCCGGAGCGGTACCTATTTATCTACTTGCACTTTGACGTGCTTTCAAACTGCTAGGTTGGCAGGAGCAGGGACCGAGCAACGGGAACTCACCCTGTTGCGGGAATTCAAACTGCCAACCTTCTGATCAGCAAGTCCTAAGCTCCTTAAGGTAAAGGTAAAGGTACCCCTGCCCGTACGGGCCAGTCTTGCCAGACTCTAGGGTTGTGCGCTCATCTCACTCTATAGGCCGGGAGCCAGCGCTGTCCACAGACACTTCTGGGTCACGTGGCCAGCGTGACAAGCTGCATCTGGCGAGCCAGTGCAGCACACGGAACGCCGTTTACCTTCCCGCTGGTAAGCGGTCCCTATTTATCTACTTGCACCCGAAGGTGCTCCTTACAATGTGTTTAAAACCAAAATCGCATTTGGGTAGAAACTGTTTCTCAGGCGGCTAGTCCTAGTCTTTATAACCCTGTCCCTTCTTCCAGAAGGCAGAAGCTGAAAGAGATCATTTCCGGGGTGCGCACTATCCTGCGCCATCTCTGCAGCTTTCTTATGGCACCTGGAAGCATAGATTTGATCCAAGGTGGGAAGAGTGCACCCAAATATTCTCTCCGCAGTCTTTACAACCCTGGACAGCATTGTTTTTCCCCTGACCGTGCAGCTCCCAAACCACACACACACAGACCATAAGTCCCGTAACAACAATCGTAGAGTTGGAAGGGACCCCACGAGTCATCTAGTTCAACCCCCTGCAACCTGAGAGGGTGGAGGAAGCAGGAGAAGGCGTGTCCCTCATTGTTGACTCTCAACAGGTGGAGGTAAAGATGGCAGCATCGGTGAGGGAAAACTAGGCCACACAGCCGTTCGGCAAGACCAAGGAACCGCCCGCGTCCTCACAGCACCCTGAAGGAGCACGACAGACACTGCTTGGATGGCTGAGGTAAGTCCAGGAGTTAATCCCAACCTCCAGGAACCAGAACGTTATCTAGGATCCACCGTATGGATTAAGCCAGTCTGTGGCCCCTTCTCTTAGCAGTGGAACTGGCCGATGGGCCCCATGTCCATTGATAAGAAATAATATGCAAGAAAGGGATGTGGGTGGCGCTGTGGGTAAAAGCCTCAGCACCTAGGGCTTGCCGATTGAAAGGTCGGCGGTTCGAATCCCCGCAGCGGGGTGCGCTCCCGTCGCTCGGTCCCAGCGCCTGCCAACCTAGCAGTTCGAAAGCACCCCCGGGTGCAAGTAGATAAATAGGGACCGCTTACTAGCGGGAAGGTAAACGGCGTTCCGTGTGCTGCGCTGGCTCACCAGATGCAGCTTGTCACGCTGGCCACGTGACCCGGAAGTGTCTCCGGACAGCGCTGGCTCCCGGCCTCTTAAGTGAGATGGGCGCACCCCGGGTCACGACTGGCCCGTACGGGCAGGGGTACCTTTACCTTTAATATGCAAGAAGAGCTGGTTCAGACCAAATGTCCCTCTAGCCTTGCATCCTGCTCCCAAAAGAGGTCAATAATAATAATAATAAATAATAATAATAAATTTTATTTATACCCCACCCTCCCCAGCCTAGACCGGGCTCAGGGCGGCTAACACCCGATATAAAAACAAATTGATTGAAATACAACTTAAAAACAAGGTTAAAATACAACATTAAAACATACAGCCTCATTTCGATGGAAACTCAAATCAAAAACTTTTGGGGGGATGAAAACGTCAAGTCTTCACCAAGGCTAGGGTCAGCCAGGTCCCCCCCCACACACACATAAGGAAGTTCATCAATAGGAAATTGCCTTATGCAGAGTCCATCTAGCTCAGCACTGCTTACACTGGCTGGCAGCCGCTTGCCAGGGTTTCAGGCCGGGAAATCACCCAGAGCTACCAGGAGGTGCCATTGGGGACTTTCGCTGTGCAAGGCAGATATCCCACCACAGAGCTTACAGGCCTAAGCCAGCTGTGAATATGTTGGGGGCCTCTTTCGTGTTTATTATTCACGATATGTAATACCGTATTTTTTGCTCTATAAGACTCACTTTTTCCCTCCTAAAAAGTAAGGAGAAATGTGTGTGCGTCTTATGGAGCGAATGCAGGCTGCGCAGCTATCCCAGAAGCCAGAACAGCAAGAGGGATTGTTGCTTTCACTGTGCAGCGATCCCTCTTGCTGTTCTGGCTTCTGAGAATCAGATATATTTTTTTCTTGTTTTCCTCCTCCAAAAACTAGGTGCGTCTTGTAGCCTGGTGCGTCTTATAGAGCGAAAAATACGGTACTTCTTGTCGCAGAGTCCCGGGCAGCCTGAAATATTGCGGGCTCCGAATGACACGAATGGAATTGTTGAGTCGGAAGGGACCCCAAGGGTCATCCAGTCTGACCCCCTGCATAGCAGGAATCTCAGCTAAAGGAAGTGGGCACCTGTGTGTGAGAGGGGGTTGTTTAGGGGGTAGGGGGCAAGGCTGCGATTTAAGGGCGCATGGCATCCTTCTCACGCCGCCCTTCCCCGAGCCGCTTTGCAAGGCTGGCATCTGATCAGATCCCCCCTGGAAAATGCACCCTGCCTTTATGTGTAGCTTGGCTCGCTCGCTCGAGCTGCGCGAGCCCTTTGCTCACCATTTTCTTTCTCGGAGCGAAGAGCCCAAAGGCACCCCGTCTCCCTTGCAGAAACAGGATGCGAGGAACTGCCTGGACATTTTCCCAGAGAGGAATGTTTCAGTGCAATTTTCGTAGCTGTTTCAGGAAGTCAGATCGACTCTCCCAGGAATGGCCTTGTCGTGGGTATTTTTTGTTGTTGTTGTTAAAAACAATATCTATCAATAGCCCCCTTCTAATCCTTCCAAGTCTATTTTAATAGTGCTGACCTATTTTAATCAGTTTAATCAAGGGATCCGGCGTAAAACAGCCTAATCTATACATCTGCGTGCTTTCATCTCTTCTAATCTCCCTGAATATTGGGCTTAATGCCTCTGATCCCTTTTAGGCACCTACCAGCCTGGCCTAATCTCATTTGCACATATGCATATTTTAATCTGCCTTTTGTTCAGCAGCTGACACCCCCTCGCCTTTCCTTTTGCATCCCCAACAAATTTTTCGATGGGAATTTTCTGCTGGGTGTGAAACAGGGTGGCGAGTCTCATTTACAGTAGGGGAAAACCTCCAGTTCTCTCCTGACTCCCCAAATCAGGACTTTCCCAGACAGTCGGTGAGGCTAGCTTATTCCGTTATTCAGTTTATTCCTTCAATCTGATTGATTGATTGTCATTTGGATCGATTAAAAGGGGTGACTGCCCTGGATTAACCAAGCAGCTATCTTTTATTTCTATTTTCATGGTTTCAATTCTCAGCACAAACAAAAATATATAGATACAAACGTCGCAAACCAGCAATTACAGGAACAGTACAGATAGCTATGATACTTGACAAGCTTAGCATCTGATTTTTTAAAAAGAAAAGCGTGAATGGTTTTGAATGCAAATGTTTGAAAGAGCTGTGAATAGCAGTGCCTGACTTAACATTATGTGCCTTCTAAGAGGGTGCCTGTTTTTTGTTCATAAAAGGGTCCTGCTAGATCAAAGGTCGCATTTTTCTTTTCACTGGGGCAGATCGGATGCCTCCAGGATGCACACAAGTGGGGTCCTCCCCTGCTGTTGCACCCCTGAAACTGAAATTCAGAGGTAAAAAGGGACCCCTGACCATTAGGTCCAGTCGTGACCGACTCTGGGGTTGCGGTGCTCATCTTTGGCTGAGGGAGTCGGCGTACAGCTTCTGGGTCATGTGGCCAGCATGACTAAGCCGCTTCTGGCGAACCAGAGCAGCGCACGGAACGCCGTTTACCTTCCCGCCGGAGCAGTACCTATTTATCTACTTGCACTTTGACGTGCTTTCGAACTGCTAGGTTGGCAGGAGCAGGGACCGAGCAACGGGAGCTCACCCAATGCAGGGATTCGAACCACCGACCTTTTGATCGGCAAGCCCTACGCTCTGTGGTTTAACCCACAGCGCCACCCTCGTCCTACAGACAATTCAGAGGTACACTGCGTCTAAACATGGAAGTTCATCTAGCTAGCTATCATGGATAACAGCCATCAGCACACCTGTAGTCCATGAATTTGCCTAATCTCCTTCAAAAGATGCCCATGCCCAGCACCCACCACCAGCTTCATGTGGCAGGCAGTTCCACAAGTTAATTCTGTGTGTGTGTGTGTGTGTGTGTGTGTGTGTGTGTGAAGCCACCGCTTTGCCGGTCCTGAATCTACTGCCACCAAACTTTACAAGCAAGTTCAGCTATGGTTAGAGAAGGTGGGTGGGTGGGGGGACTTCTGTGTTCATTCTGCTGTGAATACATGCAGATTTCACTCACTAATTAAGCTGATTACAACTGGTACAATCAACCCACTAAGGGCGGAGAACCTTTGCCTTTCAGTTATTCCTGAACTACAACTCCCATCAACCCTGGCCATTGGCCATGCTTGCTGGGGCTGATGGGAGTTGTAGTCCGGCAACGTATGAAAGGTCAACATCCATTATGACTGTGGCGAGAGAGAACTGTAGTCCACCCCTCACAGAGCTCCAATTCCCAGCATCCTCAACAAACTATAGTTCCCAGGATTCTTGGGTGGGGGGAAGCTGTGTGCTTTAAATGTATGGCATGCACGTATCCAAAACTGGTGCATACTGGAGAACAGAAACGCACATAAATGTCCCTCTCCACCCAGACTGCGTTGGAAGGTGGTGGTGTTCTTCTTCACTAAGTTTTTTAAGCAGAAGGCGCGCCTTGCAGAGGATTTCCTGTGTTGGCCAACAAGGTTAGGCTAAATGGCCTTTGAGACCCTTCCACCTCTGTGATTTGGCGAAAGGCTATTCCTGCTGTCACAAGGCTGGCACCAATCTGTGGTTTGGATACAGCATGGGACTTATAGGCTTTCTGCACAAAGGGCTGTGACTTGGGGGCAAAGCGCCGCAGGAATCACAGGCGCAGGTTTATAGCTGGGGTGGGGCGCTTGTGGGTCTCTGGGTGTCGCTGGGCTGCAGAACTCATTGGCCCACTGCTCCCGCCTGAAGCTCTGAGAACCGAGGCTCAGAGAGGAACGCCGGGCTGCTTGAAAGCGCTTTTGCAAAGGGCTCTCGCAAAGCCCCACAGCTGCTGTTTTCGGAGGCTCAATCAGGAATGGCAAACTGCTTGGAAGCGCTTTCGCCAAAGGGCTTCCTGGCAGCCCTGCCAGGCTCCTGCCTGAGCCTCCCGAGGCTCAAAGAGGAATGCTGGGCTGAGCAGGATTTAACCCCCGTTAATCAGCTGACAAGTAGGGATTAAATCTGTGATGCTTGGGATGCTGAGGACCAATGCACCAGGTATCCCCATAAGAGCAGGAGGGGGACTTTTGCAGAGTTTAGTTTCGCTTTCGACCGTCCCCAGGGGGGCTCATCTGGCGTCTTCATTACATATCTTTAGGCGCCAGGCGTAAACGCTTCTCTCTAACCAGACCTTTGGCTGATTAACATGCTATGGCCTTTTAATTGTGCTTGCAGATTGTTTCTGTTTTATTACTTTGCATTCTCATTTTCTATTATTGTGACACGAACCGCTCTGTGACCCTAGATGAAGAGCAGTACACAGTTTTTTAAAATAATAATAATGTCTGCTCCCTCATCTGAGCCAGCCGGTTTCCTGCTAGATTTCACCCTGTCCTCAGCTGACATCAGCTGGTGGGTGGGTGTAATTTGGGGGGAAATGCCTTGTGGGCCAAACGGGGTGCCCTGGAGGGCCAAGACTGGCCTTTGGAGCCCTGCTCTAGACCAGAGGTTGGCAACCTAAGGCCCATGAGCCGGAAGCAGCCCATGAGCCGCCCCAAACTGAGCCGCCCACTTGGCGAGTCCCCGCACACTGCGCTAAACCGGCACAGCGCAACGTGGGGACTCTCTTCTGTGGCTCCGGAAATCGCTTCTGTGCATGCCC